GGGAAAGAGCATGGTGAGGAAACGAGGGATGAAATTTGCAGGCTATGGCGTGCTGATGCATCCGAGGAAGACGAAGACACGGAGGTAGAGAGAGAGACGTTGAAGAAGGCGGAGGTGCTTCGTTTCGTTCTGAGCTCGCTTCGCAAATATGCAGACAGGGATCGCCAATTCCGAACAATTTTGATAAACCCTTTTTTTGTAATGACTGTTTGTTAAAAAAAAAAACTTAAAGACAAATCACATCTATATTTTATTTTCAAAAAATAATTATATAAGGCCTCTTTTTTTTTGGTTAAATTACATGTATTTTTGCTTGTTCTTTTTTTCCCATGACAAACTTATTTCCCAATTGAAAAAATAATTTCTTCAAAGGAGTGATTGGCGACTGTAGAGATTATGTGATTACTATTTGATTGTACAAAGATTTTAAAATTATGCTAGGTATTTTTTTTAAATTGATGGTTAAAAAGAAAACAAAGTTATAGTAAATCCAACTTAAATCAGGTTACAGTTTAAACTTAAAATCCCAACTAATCATATTTCTTAAATCTGGTATAGAACAACAAATGAGCACAATTACAGTTCATGTGTATTGAAATTTGGCATTTATTTATTTATAAATATCTAAAAAAATGATGAGGAGGATGTAAGAAAGAACCATTTATATATAAGATGTCTGAATCCTGAGATTGATCATTGAAGTCAAGTCACTCATTAATTGTCTGAAAGTTTATTTTTTTTATGGCAATTCTATAAAATCGGATCGGAATTTACTTCGTCAAAAGAAAACTTCAAAGCAACGCTATTTTTGGGAAGTGATGCCATTGCCATTGCCGACCTCATCGTCTTCTCCACTTTCTCTTCTCCTCAAGCCATTTTCCATTCGACAGAGCGGCAATCTCTTTGACGCCTTTGTTCGAGGTAAGGTTACGTTCGTTCACACCGTTTGTTTCCTGTTTCCATGGCGTTTTCTTACCATCCCTATGAATTCTCTCTGTCCTGAAACCAGACGTGTTCCATGTTTTTTTTTTTCTCAGGATTCGCCATTGTCACTCCTCGAGCCCCTGACATGGATTCCCATGGCGCTTCCTCTCCGACAATGGATCAGAAAATCACAGACGGATTGACGAACGCTGCTTGCGAGTGGTTCCTGATATTCCTCATGTTCGTCCACGCTCTCCTCTCCCATCTTCTCGTCTGGTTCGCTCGTTACTGCAGGTTGCAGCTTCCTTGCTTCCTCTGTTCCAAGCTTCACCGTCCTTTCCACTGGAGATTTCTTCTCTGTCGGACCCACAGGTCCGAGGTTTCCTCTTTCATCACCTGTCAGATTCACGACAACAACCTCGCCGACTCCCGAGGCATGTGCGATGACTGTCTATTGTCCTTCACCAAGAAGACTGGTCCGAATCCCGACATGCATCGCCTGCTTCTGGGGAAACTAGGGTTTGATCTGCTCCTGAAACGGGATTCTTCTCACCCGAGGCCGTGCTCCTGCTGCGACAAGCCTTGGCGGACAAGGCACGGTTCGCAGCGTCTGATTCAGTTAGGGTTTCCAGGGAGAAACGCCGTCAGTAAACCTAACATCCCGACTCCACGGACCATTAGCCGCCGTGGAAGCGGAAACTTGAAGAAGATGAGAGACCAGAAGGCACCACCAGTTGCAGCTTCCACTTATGCAGGAATGGCTCACGTTGGTTACACAGAGCTCAAGATCACGTCCGATTCTGACTCCGAGTTCCCGTTTTCCGACGATGACGCTTTTGTCCCCATCACCGACTTCGAGATCGGATATTCCAAGAGAAGCAGCTATGAATCTCTGTCCGAAGACAAGATCTCCAAATGTAAGCAACGTGACCTCGGATACAACAAGAACAAGAACACTCCTGCAGAATCTTCCATGAAAGAGCTCACTCATCTAGATGCTTCCTCTAGGGAAAAACAGAAACGACATGATTCAGATGCTGTTCCACGAGACAGCTCCGATTCAATCATGAAGTTAGATGTCTGTGAGGAAGATGTGGAACCGATGGAAGCTGGCTCTGTTCCGAAAGAACGTGTCAGCGAAGAAAAAGACGATGACAATGTAGACTCTAAGCCCGAGACATCAAACAATATTTCTGGATTTGCTGTAAAAGACAATGTCAATGGAGAGACTGCTGCAGAAGAACATTCCAGCAATGGAGACTCTGAAACCGAAACATCAAACAACGTGTCTAGTTCTGTTCCAAAAGAGGATTCTGATAAGGATGATGGAGAAGAGATCAATGGAGATCCTGAAGCCGAAACATCAAAAAATGTGTCTGGCTCTGTTCCAAAAGAACATTCTGATAAGGATGATGAAGATGGGATCAACGGAGACTCTGAAACCGAAACATCAAACAATGATGTTTCTGGTTCTGTTGCAAATGAACATTCTGATAAGGATGAAGAAGATGAGTTTAAGGGAGACTCTGAAACTGACACATCAAAAAACAATGATGTGTCTGGTTCTGTTCCAAAAGAACATTCTGACAAGGATGAAGGCGACAAAGGAAACTTCGACAACATCCCTAACGAAGAACCCATGGAAGATCATTGTGATAAAGAGCCCTCAAAGTTAACAGACACTCCCAGTACATCAAACGAAACACCAAAGCTTAAGCACTCTGCCTCTGTAGAATCTTTCGGCAGTGTTAACAGCGAGTTCGAGGGTGAAATTCTGGTTGATCGGTTGAAGCAACAGGTAGAGTATGACAGGAAATGCCTAAAAGATTTGCACGCAGAATTAGAGGAAGAGAGAAACGCCTCGGCCATTGCAGCGAACCAAGCCATGGCAATGATCACACGGTTGCAGGAGGAGAAAGCAGCTCTTCATATGGAAGCTTTACAGTACCTAAGGATGATGGATGAGCAAGCAGAGCACGACGTCGATGCCCTCGAAAGAGCGAATGATATCTTGGCTGACAAAGAAAAAGAGCTGCAAGATCTCGAGATGGAGTTAGAATATTACAGGGTCAAGTATCCAGATGAACCGAGAGGTGAAATCCTTGCCGCCATGGGAATATCTGCTCAAGAGGGCAAGGACAAAACCCCCAAGCCTAGTTTCACTAACTCTTCATCTCTGGAAATGGAGAAAGAGAGGTTACACATTTCACAACGCTTGAAGAGTTTGGAGAAGAAACTATACCAATTTGCAGAAGGAAGATTACCAGAAAAAACTGAAAATGGAAGCTCCGGCGAAAGAGAGGTCCCCACAAGTAATGGCTCCATAGAATTCCAAGGGAAGCATCCCGGGCATGAAGATGGCGAGACAACTGTCAATGGAGAACCTCTTGAAGATGAAGAAAACATCTTAGGGGAGGAAAGTAACAATCTTCTGACAGGAACAGTGAATAGAAGAAGTCTTAGCCAAGACAAGAAAGAGTGGTCTACAATGGAGAATGAAATCTCAGAGCTAAAGAAGAGGTTAGAGGCACTCAAGGCAGATCGTGATTTCCTCGGGCAGGCATTTGCCACTCTAGAAAAAGGAAAAGGAGGAGTAGAGCTGATCGAAGGGATAGCTCGGGAGCTGCAGGAATTGCGGAACCTTGGATTAACGAGAAGATGAGATCAGTCAACTCATACGAGTTTGCAGATGCATTTTGTAAAAGGTGAGCATATCACCAAATGAACAAAAGTCTAGAGTTAGTATCTTAGAAGACTTAGGCTTAGGGTCCTGTTTCCATCTTTTGCAAACAATTCTTTATCACAAATCATTAAAAAGAATTATCTCTTCATTTATTTACTTCTCCTATTTGACAAGAAATCCAATAGTGATCAAGCCAGATTCAAAATAATGAAAAGGTAACTACATGAATCTGTATCTGGGAACTAGCACTAGTTTCAATTTGCTTCTTGAAGCTTAATAACAGCATCAAAACTAAAACTTTCACCTGGTTCAAATGTCTCTTCGAGATCTTCATAGCTCTGCTCGATTCTCAAATCTTTCCCGACCTTTAGGCCTTCCTGCAAAAGCATCAACAACCGAATCAAAGACTTTGAGGACTTTGGTAGCATCAACAATGGTGCAGGCCCCTCATTAATCGAAAAAACCGCTATTATATGCACCACTTCTAATAAGTCTACCATTATTTATTACCCTTATGTGTTTACCTTTTCCACATAGTCTGCAATGGTAGAATTGATTACTTTCTTGATCACCTGCTTGTAAACTTTGGATGGTCCAAGAATCTCTAACAAGATATCTCTGGGTATCTGCAAAATACATTGAGGGGGAAAGGAATCTTAGCAAAAGTTGATTACGTAGAATTTGATGGATTTTCTTTATAAAAAAAGAGTATGAACAGAGCATATCAGATGGAAGAACCCTGAAAATAAGATCACTTGTACAATGCAGTGCATAAGTTAAAGAATGAGTATCATAATAAGTTCAGACAAAAAGTAAAATGGATTCAGTGACCAAGTGCGTCATTCTTTTAGTTCCTTAAGCTTGATGTTGTCCATGTTATTTGAGTTAGTAGTGATACAACAGCATTTCATCCTCATTGTGCTTGTCTGAGAAGGACTTGAGAAACATACAAGTGCATTATCAGCACTGACAATGAAAAAAAAAACATGTCTTTTGTAAACTGATGAGAAGCAACAACTTACATTTGGTGTCTTCCCTGAAGTTCCCAGATTGGTAAGAAACAAAAAAAAAAGGCAACAAAAGCAAGAAAATATGTCAGAGAAGCCTTGTTTGCAGTTCAAGTCCGGCATAGTAGTTCATGACACCACAGTAATTATGGTGTTGCCTATGCAAATATAAAATTGACTTATCAACGTACATCTTGAGATAACTTTCACTAATTTCTTCCTGGAGATTATTGCAGTATTTGTGGATGTTTTTACTTGTTACCTCCTTTAACTCTGCGGAATCCTGGAATTGGCTGAGCTGCAGCTACCATTTTGTCAAACACATTATCGAATTCTTCCCGAGTCCTCTCACCAGATACCTCCACATGAATCTGTTCAGTAAAAACGTAACTGTGAGCTGGAAAGGAATGTGATCTTAGGACATTGATATACCCCGCAGGTCAGGTGCCGACTTCTTTGCGTTTCATTAACAATCTTGGCCATATGAAAAGGAAAAAGAGATCGGTCCACCAATAGAATGCTTCTTAGGGTCCTTCCACGAACAACATCATACCTTCAACTCATCGCTCTTAACTGTCCCGGAGGTGGCAACCAGAACATCTTCCTTCTCAAGGGAAGAAGCTTTGACGTCTTCCACATCTAAAAACGAATATCATTACAATGATTGTACAAAACTTCAACTGAAAGAGGGAATATAAAAATACAAAGGAGAGAGAGCAGAACACAGGGTTTCAAACCAGATGGCGTAGCACAAACTGCTAGACGCAGTCGGAACATTGTCCTGCGAAAAGTATAGAAGAAATGTCAAATGCCCTTAGTAAGAAACTCACATTGGATCAAACTTATGGTTTCTGCCTTTCAACCTCTAATAACATCATTCTGTGTAAGGGAATTTACCTTCCATGGGAAAATTGATTTACAATGTAACTTGACTGAGAAGGGAAGCATGCCCGTCTGCGAGAAAACTCAAGCCTTTGTTTCTGCTCTATTATCTGCAACATTGGGAGAGAAAACTGAACAAGAAAACGACACGGGCGAGGAGATGAAAAGGGCCAATACACAAGAAAAGGCGTCTTACAGTAGAGTTTAGGCCAAAGAGTGAGTGGGTATTGATCATCGTTTGCATTATAACTTCAGAGTAAATGACTGCTTCTTCAGCGTTTGCCTCCTCCCTCTAAACAAACAAACCTGTCTACCTGCAGGTTTAGAAACAGTGTCTTTGTTCCCATTACCATCATTACCCAGGAAGAGGACCGAACCGAACAAATATCTCCAACCGGTTAGCCTAAACCAAAAAAAAAATCAACCCGGTTCAGGGTTCAGCCTTATCCTACCGCACTCGGACCTCCAGTTTCCGTTCCTCTATTCGTCGGCAGAAGAGGAAGAGACGGGGGGTGGTGGTGGCGGCGGCGGCGACAGAAATTGTCGTTCTCGCCAATTCTAAACAATCGAAAGGGTTCGAATTTTGCATGGAAAGCGACTATGACGAAGACCCATTTCAGTTCTCCATCCAATCATGGACCTCAACCTGAGAACAGAGAGAGAGAGAGAGAGGGAGGTCACCTGACGGCCGGCGACTCAGGCTCCGGCAACGACACCGGCGGAGACAGAGAGAGACGGCGGGTTTGGGCGAGGAAGGGAACAACTTAAAGTTAATCGTTCGGAGCCTTTAATAGATAGATATATACAAAGTTGGAACAGCCTCGGACGATGTTTGAAAGTTCTTGTCTTCTTCTTTCGAGGAAGTGAGGAGTTCAAAAACGCTTTAGGTCGCCAAATTTCAAGATGAACAATTTCACTCTCCGAAAACGGGCAATTCATTGCTAACCTTTTGCTCCTTGATTTTATTCTTTTGAGATTTTCAGATTTCACAGTCGGAAGAATTGAAACCTACTAAGGGAATATGGGAAATCACGACCGGAGAAATACAGAAAAAGAGGGAGATGCTATACATGAAACACGAGACCAGACCGTACTCTGAAAATATACAACACAAAAAAAGCTGCATGGTATGTGATATGATCAAAAGCCCTCTTACCATGAAAACAACCCCTAAATCTCATCATCATATTCAAACCCTCATAACACCGAAACACCAAAGAACGAAAATCGAAAAGATGGTAACCGATGTCCCCGCCGCACGATGGCAATACCCTGCAACACAATTTCACATGTACATGGCCATAAAATACTAAACCAAAACACACAACATAACATGTTGTGAGAGAACTTAGACAAAAAGGAAACTCCAATGTCTGTGTACCATGATTTTTAAGAGTCTGAGATGTTGGCAAGGCAGGCAAGGACATCTCTGCATATTGTGTACCAGTGTCATGCAATCTGAAATTTAGTTTCGTATACTTGAGATCCAAATAGAGGAAGGAAATTGTTACCAGGAGCACAGAGAGACAAGGAAGACATTGAGGAAGAAGATGGCCATGGAGCAGCGATATTGTCTGTTAGATCACATGTAAAACTGTAGCCTGTTGTGTTGTCGAATATCAAGTCTGCAGGATAGCTCCTGAGAAGACACCCTACATCCACATGGTCAAACAGAAGTCAACTTAAGTTTCCATCTCGGAAAACAGCATAATAGATGAAGACGACGACGATTTCATAATGCGAACCTTGTTGCATTCCGTATGCTGCTTTGTTTACCACAGAAAAAAAAAAACCATGAAACAAAAAAAAAACGAGAATCAGTATCAGGAGAGGATATCTATCTGTACAGGTGGAAGGAAAGACAATGTATCTGAAGCGAATGTAATTATTACCTTGGACACTAAAATCTTTCAGATCAACATCACAAAGCTCGTAAATATTTGTCATGACACCACCTTTCCTTAACATGGAGCCGATAACTGTTGCACATACTATGGCCTGCTTGTTTGTTATTAGCATTTGGTTTTGTATCCCAGAAATGTATGCATTCAACGAGCTACAGCAAGAAGGGCTTGGAGAAGCTACATTCCGGCAAGCGTTAATAACTTCTGTTGGTTGTTTAATTTCCAAGGGGCAAGCTGCAACAACAATGTAATAACCTCAAAACCTTCGGAGAAGAAGAGAAAAAGAATAAGGAAATCGATGACAGAGATATCAAAACACAAGTTCGATACCCCTATTGACTTTGCATGAAGATAATATACGAAATGCAGAATTTGCAGTGTCTGCCGGGAGCTTCCTGGAAATGTATGAATACACCACATTCTTGCAATCATTAATGGCATTGACGTTGTTTGACTCTCCTACAGGAATTCTATCACCAAATGCCATTTGGTTTCCTGAAATCTGAAGTGCAGCTTCCATTATTGCAGGTTGACAAACCGGCCTGCAACACTCCTTGAGAGGATCAACAGTGCTACATGCATCCAGTAATTTGCTGGTATTTACTAATTTCTCAAAGGTCTTAACGTCTTTTACTGGACAAGAACCTCCAGTTAGATTTGATGATGTTACAGAGCAAAGTGAAGGTATACTCATATTTGCTCTTCTGCTGACCAGGATCCTAATGACATCTGAAAAACAATCTGCAGCAACGGCATCTGGCAGAACCAACTTATCTGATTTGACATTGTGCTGCCCCAGGAAAATATGAAGTAAACTAGCAAACTGTGGACAGCAGACCACATTCCCCACGAGCGCAGCAAATGGCTGGGAACAGTCAGAAGCAGTTCTGTCCAAAATGGTTGAAATTGCTGAAAAGTTTGCAGGACATTTCCCAGTTAAATTTGGTTCGTACATATTAGGAAAGGTAGGATACATAGGTGGTGGCCAAGGTGCAGCAGGTGATGTATATCGGGGGATGACTGATGGTGATACTTGTATAGGATCAGTTGGTCCAATCCCAGGTGGATTTGCCAACTCAGAGGTTGAGGACATATTACTAGGCTCATGGAGTTTATGGGGTGCAACTACATCCTGTAAGCTTGACAACCAGATGATAAATAACAAAAACCGATGAACCAAACAGCCTGAAAGAGATGCAAGAGACTCATTAACACACATTTGTATAGATATATCTACTCGAGAGTATAAAACATGGTTTCTATAAACAGAATCTAAAGGACAATTACACTATGGAGAGAGAGAGAAGAGAGCTATTTCCTAAGAAACGCGGAATTTCCTTGAAAGTTAAAACAGGAATCAATGTTGCCGTTGCTTAGGGAAAACATTTTCAAGATTCTAAAAAATTTAATCCAATCAAATTAAACTAATAACTGTGAACTGCAGGTAACAAAACTAATTTCACTATGTTTCTTTCTTGTGACGTTCGGGTGAAAATGTGAAAACAGAACAAAAAATGATGCTGAACTTACCTTTAAGCCAACTAACAGTCTCAAAAGAGTCCATTGCTAAAGAGGCCTCCGGCACCATTTAGTTTCATGAAAGCCAAATATGGTAGTCAGCTAAAAGCCGTGGCAGATATAACCGTTGGATAACACCCCAGTTACCTTCAAGTGTAACAATAAGTTCAAAAGTCAGCAAAAAGTGAACAGGTATAGGAAGTTTGAACTGGATAAGCAGAAACAATAAGTAGCAACACATGGAAATGTTTGTTAGGTTTTACCCAAGCGAAAGCACATCACTGATGAAGGCATATTGTTCCTCAACTCATCACCCTCAAAACACAAGAGACAGGCTAATTACACAGTAAAACAACTCCAGAATAACCTAACTGCAATTTTAAGAATCCCAAACACCAACTAAAATAAGAAGAAAAAAACAATCCTATTTGTCTTAAATTTGCTGGTCCTTAAGCACCATGCATGAGTGAGTACAACCTAATGACGTCTTAACAGCATTTCCATGGCCAACAACAGTTTTTTGGATCTTTAAATCGACATACTGCCTTGATTTTGGAGATAACTTGTTTGCTGATTTCATCAATCAAACTTTTAACGAGGTTATAGAGCATGATCAAAAGGAAGCTCGTGCAATTAGTGAATACGCTACACTTCTCATGAGAACTATAATATTCTTCCAACTAATCTGTACAGGAGATAAAGAGAGAGAGCCACAAGATCAGGATCAGAAACAAAAGTCTGTTCTCTTTGCCCATTTCTTGCACTGATTTTAGCACCACGGCATTATGCGTTCAAGAGCAAAGATGAATCCTTGTCGGGAACTTTTCCCAACTAGCTACAGTGGTTGAACAGGAGCAAAACCGACCGAAACAATTTCTTACGATTCTTCTTGCAAACCAAAAGAACCACTACCCGTAATCCAAACATACACAACGAAAAACTCAAGCTTGCTTGCTAATCTGACCCACCAGAAAGACAAAACAAAAGAAGCTAAATATAATGCAATACCCAGAAGAAAAAAAAATCATACCAAAACCTTCCGCGATTAGACATGCCAAAACTTCTCAAGTCCCCAACGGAGGATTAAGTACTCGCAGAGAGATCAAAATCGCGACCAGAATTTAACAAACTTTAGCCGATTTTAAGCCTTTCAAGCTCCAATACGCGAAGGAGTAAACTAGACGAAGACAAAAGGACGGTAGAAAGCGAAAGTACCTGGATATTTCAGCATTTCCGGAAATTAAACCATGTAAGGGAAGCAACGAGGAGGAAGGGAGATGTGCTTCCCGAAGAAAACCCTAGAAAATGATCAACGTAAGCTTCTTCCCCCCAGGAGAAGCGAATTCCGTGCAGAGACTTAAACGCCACTAAGACGAAAGCAAAACAAGAGAACAGAGCCCCCCAACTTTACCTTCCTCAACCCACCCGATTTTTTTTTTTTTTTGCCTTTTTTTTTTTTGGTGCCAAGCACCACCTGCACAGTGCACACCCACCCATATTATTTTGTCGTCTTTTCTTTTCTTTTCTTTTCTTTTTTTTCCTTTTTATTTATTTACAAAAAAAATCGCAATTATTACTAAGTATAGATTCGCGATTTTAATTGTATTGAATGTTATATAAAAAATATATAAGTCCGACTATAAATAAAGCTCTCAATACATATATATATATATATATACACGCGCAACATGTCTGGAACAACCGAGGATTATGTTTGGGCTGTTAGGTTAAACAAGCCCATTAACCTATTGGGCTTTTTATACGAGGCCCAAAATATACAGAGTTATGATTGGGATTTGGAAACTCCATTCCCATGGGCCTACAGAGTTATTATACCATAAAGAGCAAATTCTGTATGCGTAAATTCGAAATAAATCGGATTTACCCATATGCATTATATATTAACAAATAAAAACAACTGTAATTTTTTTAAACATATTTATAGATAATAAACTGGTTATTATTATGAACATATGTTAAATCGTATACGATAAATTACCCTTAACCGGTGTAAGAATTCAACTGGAATTCGGTTTTCTGGACCGGATCGATCTAGGTTATTGATTTTGTTTTTGTATATATTTTTATAATATTTTATGTTCGGTGGTTGATTTAAGATTAAAAAAAGGGGGATATGAACTTAAGTCAAACAAAAGTGGTATACTAAGTAGGGTGGACGATCGGTCGGTTCGGTTTAATCGGGTTTAGGTATTTCGGGTTTAAAATATTCATATCCAATCGGTTATATTATTTTAATCGGTTCGGACTCAGGTTCGGTTCGGTCCGGATAAGATTCGGTTTAGTTTATCCAAACAAAAAAAACGATAAAAAATTCAAACAATTACCATATAAAAATAACAAAAACAAACATTAAAATACATCTATATTTCATTTTTTTATATACTATGATTATAAAACAATATCATTATACTATTTTGTAATTAGATTTAGAATATATTATATATTAATTGATGATATATAGATAGATAAACGGATAATTTCGGTTATGGTTAATTCGGTTTACGGTTATTTCAGATTCGATTATTTCGGATTCGGGTATTTCTGGTTTAAAATATTCATATCCAATCGGGTATATTATTTTAATCGGTTCAATTCGGTTCGGATATTTATCGGTCAGATTCGGTTCGGTTATTCGGGTTCGGTTATTTTGCTCATCCCTATTACTGTGTCATGGAAAAAAAAAACTAATCAAATTGGGAATATAATTAATATACCGAAGGTTTTTTCCTTGGAAAGAATAAATACCAAAATAGTTTCAAAAATAGTTTAAATCTAAAAATGATTAGTAAAACCAAAAAACATTGCTTCGAAAATAAAATTCAAATAATTAATAATAATAATAATAATAAGCCAAAGAAAAAGTTGATTTCTTTTGGCCGTTTTCATTCTTTATTGTATCCCTCCGCGCGTTGCTTATCTGTCTCTCCCCTTTTCCTCTCCTCTCCGTCTCCATCAAGCGATCTCTCTCCCTCTCTCCCTCCCTCTCTCGTCAACAGAGCCAGAAGAAACCTACGAAACAAACCCTAGAGATTTTTGAGGGAGAGAGATTGAGATATATAGCCTCTCAAGCACATCTAGACATTGATTCGGGAGATAAGACAGGTACAACAATTTTTTCTGTCTCTCGATTTCGCAATTCGACTTCTGCCCTCTGTAGGGTATCTTCCGTGTCGCTTCAACTATTCTATATGATTCCATTTCTAGGCAATTTTTCCCCGTTTGAGGAGTTTCGATTTGGGTTTATATCAGTTTCCGACGGGGTTTTCGGTTTTTGAATCCTCTGTGTTGAAATTTGGGCGCTTTCTCTTCTGGGTCGTGCCCCCTATTCGTAATTGTTCGTCTGTTGGACGGTAAATTGTGATTTTTATATCTACTTTTTTATTTTTCTTCCATTGAAGGTGATCGTTACCGACCTTGTTGGCTGCATGGCTTTTGTCCCTTTTGGGTTTAGATGCTTTGTGACCTAATTATGTTGGATATACATGGTTTGGTGGTGATGAGCTAATGTCTCCCTCGCAGTGAATTACCCGATTCTTTTCGAGAAAATTTACTCTACTAAATTGCTTAAGAGATGTGAATTTGATCTGGATTTCTCCTATGCCTCTTCTCGCTTGTGGTTTGTGAGTTCATCTACAATTAACGCTTATCAGAAAAATGTTGTTTGGATTTACTACACAGTGCTTGAATCTCTCTAGCTAATTTATTTTTTCTATTGATCACCAAAAAAAATTCCTTTCTGCAAATAGAATTTTGGCCAATTTGGTGCATAACTCCTTTTGCCTGATTTCCCGTGGAGGTAGTGGGGAAGCTTTAGGCTTTTACGTTGGGTAGTCAACAATTGGGAATGAAGTTGCTTCCTTTGACAATGCTCTTAATTGGTCTATATTCTATAAGAAGCTTTTTTGATTAAATGGTTTCTATGTTGAAGAAACTTGGTTTCAGTTTGAAATTTAAATTAAGACATAATTACTTTTAAAAGTTAAATCTTTTTAATCATTTGTCCTACCTAGAGTGTAACTATTAGACATTTATAGTGTCTTGAGCTGATCATGTCTGGTCATGTTCGCCGACTTGGTTACATGAATCGATTGCAGGAACCAAAAGCTGTAGAACTATATGTGAAGAAGAGAACGAGGATGCGGAAGTGGCTCTGTTGTACATGTCAAATCGAAGATTCGAATCCGTCCAATGAGGAGGAACACCTGAAAAGTCCTAGACACCAGCCTGATGGTATGTAGCCAAAGAGTTTTCGCTTAAATCACTGTGACTTGGTTAAATGATTTATAGGAATCTTATTTTCAGGACTAGCTCCTAATTTCTACAGTTTTGTAATAGGATATTGATCTTGTGCTGTTTAGATGGCATCTTAGAATTTCAACTGAAAGTTGATTTATTAAGTCTACCTAACTCTTCTGCCACAGAAAAGTAAAAAAGAAAGAAAAAAGAGAGAGAGGGTCTACCAAACTCTGGTGGATTTTCTTAATTAGATTGTAGCTATAGTGTTGACTTGTTAGATTCACCAGCGACCCATCTTTGTATAATGCTCGTCACATTGGCCACCTCTGCAAAAGAGAGTCGCCATTTGAAATATTTCTCCTTGTCTTGAAAATTTTTGGAATCTGGATTTTTCTTATCATTATATTTGCTTGTCTTCTTAATCATAGGATATCAGAAGAATCAAAAACCATCAGCTGTTGCAAAAGCTGAAGTGCCGAACGAATCTCCTCCCATTGAGGTTCCTGCCTTGTCTTTGGATGAGCTGAAGGAAAAGACTGATAATTTTGGATCAAAGGCACTAATCGGTGAGGGATCTTACGGAAGAGTTTATTATGCAACCCTAAATGATGGGAAAGTTGTTGCTCTGAAGAAACTTGATGTATCACCAGAAGCTGAAACAGATGTTGAGTTTTTGAGTCAGGTTATAAATTTTCTCCAAACCTCTTAACCATTTCCTTTTTGTCGTGTTTTGATGAGATACGTACTACTGATTATTATTCTTCCAGGAATGACCTTCTTTTTTTTATATCTTCTTTCAGCTTGCCATATTAACATTTCTCTTATCCTTAGGTTTCCATGGTTTCGAGGCTGAAGCATGAGAATCTTATTCAGCTTCTCGGTTATTGTGTCGATGGAAATCTTCGTGTCCTTGCATATGAGTTTGCAACAATGGGATCACTGCATGACATCTTACATGGTAAGACGAGCTTCTATATTTCTGAAATCTTGACTCAATTTTCTATTGAAATTTTTCAGCTGGAAAAAAGAAAATTTCTGGTAACAAGCTTTGTCCATATATATTGATTGCATATTTTGGTATTATAGGTAGGAAGGGAGTTCAAGGGGCACAGCCAGGGCCAACACTGGACTGGATGACGAGGGTGAGAATAGCCGTTGAGGCAGCTAGGGGTTTGGAGTCCCTGCATGAGAAGGCTCAGCCTTCTGTAATACATAGAGATATAAGATCGAGCAATGTGCTTCTTTTTGAAGACTTTAAAGCGAAGATCGCTGATTTTAATCTCTCAAATCAAGCTCCTGATAATGCTGCCCGTCTTCATTCTACAAGAGTCTTGGGAACATTTGGTTATCATGCTCCAGAGTAATATTTCTTAAATCCTTAGATTTCAACTATATATATATATATATATTGCTTTCCTTTCTGAATTGTGACGTCATGGTGAAATTTTGCGTTTCTTGCTTCATTTTTTCTGCTTCAGTGTGAGGTAATAGTATTGAGATGCTTTATTGTAGATTTTGTTCTTGAGTATTTATTTAGAAGTTACACTAGTGGAACTTCTGAGAAGATTGTGAAATAAAATTACTTGTTCATGCCCTGCTGTCAACATCCCAAAAATATCAAGGAAGCATACCTGTGGCAAAACATTGTTGTTTGTGCTTACTCCACATGTGCCGGCATATGTATTTCAAATAGTTTGGCCATGCGGACAAATAAAGTGCGAACTATGGCAGCTAAAATATGGCTCTGTCCATTTGCAGGTATGCTATGACTGGACAATTGACACAGAAGAGTGATGTGTACAGTTTCGGGGTTGTACTTCTAGAGCTTCTGACAGGGAGAAAACCTGTAGATCATACCATGCCACGTGGCCAGCAAAGTCTCGTAACCTGGGTAGGTCCTTTTCTTCTGTTTCTTGATGTCCCTTGGTCCAAATCTGGATCATGTATTCATTTCCTCGTCTTAGGATTCTATGCGGATTCTTTTTTGTTCAGGCGACGCCAAGGCTGAGCGAGGATAAAGTCAAACAGTGTGTTGATCCAAAGCTAAAAGGAGAATACCCTCCTAAAGCAGTAGCTAAGGTACTTCGTCATGCCTTAAAAGAATATCGGCAGTTGCACTGCAAGAACTCTGATTGACATTTGACGAAATTCTACATCTTGATCTCTGTTTCACGGTTCCTATCTTGCTACAGCTTTTCATGTTCATCTTCTCTGTCTTTTCTAACAAAGTGACGAACTTTAGTTTAGTTGTTCAGAGATGCCATGCCAAGTCTTTTCTAAGCCCTTGGTTCGATCCAACTAACAACTTCTAATTCGTTGTGTGGCAACGCAGCTGGCAGCTGTGGCAGCATTGTGCGTGCAGTATGAAGCTGAGTTCAGACCGAATATGAGCATAGTGGTCAAGGCTCTCCAGCCACTTCTCAAACCTCCGGCCCCGGCACCAGAATCTTGAGTTGGAGTATGCGTTTTACATCTCTGCTTTGCCCCATTTTGAATGCTTTCCGGCTTCTTCTTCTTCCTCCTTGCAAAAGGGTCGTTGATTACCACTTGGATGTCAGAAATTTACACAGAACCGAGCCAAGGATGAGGTCATTGTGTGTAGGGTTTGGGATTGAGAACTATTATATCATTTGGTGAAATGCAACCATATACGCGCTTGCAGAGGTTGATGGGTTCTATTATATGCTGCCATTCTGTAGTGATGCTGTGATCTGTTTGTGTATGGGAACAGCATTGATTTGCTCTGCAATTGTTTCACTCCTCTGTTGAACGTTCTTCTCTTTTGGTTTTCTATGTGGATGGTGGGTGCCCTTTTTATCTAATATAAATGATTCTGCTGAAGTATTTGAGTTCAAAACCTTGTTCTCTATTCTCTAATATTCTAGAGTCGCCTGTTTTTTTTTTCTCTCGTAAGGCTCAAACAAGGATAGCCGTCTGCGTTTTTTGAGATATCCAATCTCGTTTTTGTTTTCGCGGGTTTTATAGAAAAAAAAATATCTCATTCTTTGTCTCACGAGAATCGGGTACTCGGTATCCTTACCTCATAATCGGGTATTATGCACTCAGCATCTGTATGAACAATATTTTTAAATCTAAAAATAAATCAAATATTCATAAAATTATACACCATTTGATTAAAAAATATATTTAAAGCCTAAAAATTTATATATTTTCAGTATTTATAGATTTCTATAAATTTTATTAAAAACACATTGATTTTTAAAGTTAAGATTTAGATATTTTGGTAAATAATTGAAAGAAATTGAAGGGTATATATTTTATCGGTAATCCATCCTTAAAAATGAAATCCAAACCCGAATCCGTTTTACAGATTTCTCGTCTTATTACACCCGTCTTCGTCTTCGTTTTCATTTAAGATCGAATACCCATTTTATAGGTAGTCAGTAAGATCGGATATCCGCAAACCATCATGTGATAGATTGAAATGCCCAGCACTAGGCGCAAGGCTTATTCTCTGTACATTTTCTGAAAGCCTCGGAAAAAAAATGGTCACTTTATATGAAGTCTTTGTATGAATTCTGATCTGATCCATCGTAGTAGTAATGCAGCAAATGTCGATGGCATTAAAACTAACTCCATGATGTTACACAACATGCAACCTCGTTTAGTTACACAGCAGATCGAGGCGGAATAATCCAATGTCGTTACTTTATTATATCACGTCTTCAGACGCATAAACATATATAATGATGCGACATATTGCCATACCAATTTTGTTTTGTTTGAATAATGAAAAATAAAAAAATAAAGCTTGTGACCAGTAAATATGATATCATTATAAACGGCTCTCATGCCATTTCAACAACTCGAAATTCGAAATTCTATCTTTTAATTAATAAAAACCGGTGACCAAATTTAGAATAATAAAAAAGGTTTTGCCATGGAGAAAAAAAAAAGGGTTTTATACATACATACATACACATATATATATATATATGTATATATACACACACGCACAAAATCAACAACCACTTCCACTAAAACATTGGAGATTCCCGAAATTAGGACCCGATTGTAAATGCTGTCTTTTTTTTTTGATAAGTCGGGTTTCCTAGGCCCAAGAGCTCTGACTAATCCCGACCCACGCATGCGAGCTTGCAACACACACGTGGGTGTAAATCGGTCGAAACCGGCAGGCGAGGGAAAATTTCCATACTCTGGATGTTGAACTCACGACCTCGCTTGGAGAAGTGAGCTCTCAAACTAACAGAGGTGGCCAACAGAAGTGGGGAATTTCCCTAAATGCTGCTTAGGGTTTATGCCCTAAAGTTTTAAAAAGAAAAGATCTTAGGGATAAAAATGATAAGCATTTTTCATGTTTTGGATATGGAGAGAGGGGGTACGAGAGTAGCGCATGGCAAACCGAGCTGAGAGCGTGCATGCACTGTTCCTTCCACGTGGACAACGTGCACTCCGACCAACTTCCATGAGCTCGGCTCACGTGCGGGCCCTCACGTGCCACGTATCACCCATCATGTGGACATCGCCATGTCCATGTCATCTCCTCTTCCTCTTTTGTTCGCTTTCCTCAAAACCCAAAGCGAAAAAAAGAGAAAAAGAGATGCAGGAAAACCCAACATAACATTTCTTGATCGTCTCACTTTAAATCTCACAAGATTTCGTTTCTTGATGTGGTTTTAATTAGGTGCATATACATACACACACATATTGCAAGCAAGCAATCGACCAAAAGTATGTTTGTGTTGTGACTCAAATTAATGTGGTTACATATATATAAACATTGTAATAGCAATGAGATGTTATAAATTGATGTCAGCATACAAAACAATTTAATCAATAGAAAAATCTTGAAAACTTTTGTCTATCTTCAAAATTCTCGAAATGCATTTCCAAAACTAAAATATTGACCACAGAAAATAAAGAGAAATCGTCTGTTTTCACAGATATTCGTATTCTCGTAGATATTATCAATTCGATTATTATGTTTTTAATAGAAGAATCCAAAGGAAAAAGAAGAAGGAACAAAAGAAAAGGAAATCTTAGAGTGCTATAAATACAAAGCATTCATGACCAAAACATTTTAATTCAACCACTTGAAACCTCAACTCATTATAAGTAGTTTCTTGTTGTTCTTCTGAAACACACACAAAACCCTAGCAATGGCTGTGATGAGTTGCAACAAGACAGAAGACGGTCTCTTTCACTCTGCTCGAGTTCACCCATTTGCTTATTCAATCCATGAAATCGAAGGAGACGATGACGACGATGATGACAGCGATGTTGCCCCCGCAGCCTGAGATGTACTTTCACGTACGCTTAAAATAGTTACTTAAGCAGTAATCATATATATATATATATATAGAGAGAGAGAGAGAGATAGAGAGAGAGAGATTGTACTCGTGCCTGTTCTTATCCATCACTCAAGCAGGCTATATATATATCATAGACAAGCAAGTTTTTGCAGGGTTGACTTGCCTATAGTAGATATATGAAGGTATTGTAATATACGTACGCTATATATATATATATAGATCAATAAATGGGATTACATGTATGATTTTGGGTGTGTGGTGGATTAATAATATAGACATAATCCATATCTGTTTACCCTTTTGTCTGATTTTATCTCTTCCACAAAGTAAAGCTCCAATAATATATATGATCCCCATACAATATATAATCATTGCTAATCCCAACCATTACTATAAATAGGTTCACTTCCCCAAGGTAATTTTTCACGCCAATATAGATGTTCCATGCATGATGATTTAGTTTGTATAGCTTTATCATATATAAACATATGATCCTTATACGTGTGACAAAAAAAAAAGACAAAGATACTATTGACATGACGACATTTACATCATCACCACATCGTCTATTTGCTTACCCATACACTTAATTACATCATTGCATTATCATCATTAAAAAAATAAGTTATTTAAGTATATAATATATATATGTCATTTGTAAGTCATTTCTCATACAAAAAAAGTTCAAAGTAATTCCTTTCCTAAACGCATCTTGTCTCTTTTCTCAATTTTGTTCTTCCTTCTTTTCATAAGAAACTACGATGGATACTTTTTAGTCCTTCAAAGGTTTTCTTCTTCTTCTCTCTTTGGCACAATGCATAAAAGAAGGCATATATAATAAGAAGCTTGTTAATTATATGTATATACGTAACACAAACTTCTTGACAAAGACATGGTTGGTTTCCACAAGTTTGAACATGTATTGTTCTATACACATAAAAAATTATATCTTTTGGATGGTTTCAAATAAAATCCCGTACGCTTAACAAACTCAAGAGGTTTTAATTGATTCAATTTACATTTTAACAAAAATAAAGTTTGAACATATTGTTCTTATTTAAGCCCATAACAAAAAAAAAAAAAAGCGTCGGCAGAAGAAAAATGTAACCGAGTCCCGCTCCATTACATGTCATATCTAATTCCATTACAAGACACGGGAGAGGACGACAATTTATTTTTCATCCATCTCTCTCTCTCTCTCTCTCTCTCTCTCATATAAGTCATAGTGCCCTAAAACCCACATATCTAAAATATGGGCTTTGTTTTATTTGGGTTTAGGCCCAATATCAATATTATTCAACCCATAAATGTTGGAGCCCAAAGTATTCTCCAATTGACATTTTTTTTATGCTCTTACATTACATTGATGAATGTATCAAAGCCCAACTCCAAGACCCATCAATAAGAAACTGCCGAAAAAAAACTTTTGCTTACGTTGGGCCCAATGGGCCTTTTAGGGATATAATAGGAGCCTTTAGGTTTGGACCAATGGGCTTTTTATGTGTTGTAAAATTCACGATATTTTGGAATTCTTTTATAATTCCAAAACCCAAAAAAAAAAAAGTATTTCGCCAATCTTCTTCTTTGCCTTCCTCTTGTACACCTGCGCCGCCTCCTCTCACTCTCATTGTTCGAACCTCCGGCAGCCATCTATCACTGGTAAGTTCTCTCTCTCTCTCTCTCTATCTCTCTCTCTCTCTCTCTCTCTGCCCTTCTTTTTCTCTCTTTTTTGATTGGTTTTCCCGTCGTTCCACCGAAGCCGGCCGTGCTTCGGCCTGCGATGAACTGGGTTTAGGCGCCGGGATTCCATGATCCTGACGGACCATGAATGACTGATTATCTAGTCGGGTGATGGTGTATTCAACCGTGAAACCCTTTTTAGGGTAAAGATTGAGTTTTTCGTCGCATTTTTCGAACTTCTAGGTCAAAGGGGTCGCTTATTCATGAAGTTCTAGTTACTGAATTGCTCCTGTTTCCCCGAAAATTTTCAGCTTCGCATCGGACCTTTGCTGCAGCCTTAGCTGGAAAAGATCTTTTGCCCATCTGTGACTCTCATCGTCGGTGTACCGAAACTGAATTTGGAAGCAAAGATGGCATTAGGGTAGAGTGGAGATTGATCGGAATAGGCGATTTAGTTGGGGTAGAAAAAAGGTTTTGAGTACCTTGAAATATAATATTCGAATGGCATACTAGTTTTGACTTAAAATATTCGAAATGAAGAGGCTTTATCCTTTATTTTCATCCTGCTCGCTTAGCCGGATGTTCTGCTCTCAGGTCCAGACGAGATTCACAGGATCGAACATGCTGAAATTCAGTGGTCTTTTTCTTGACAAGTTCACTCGTGTGGCCTCCGTGCCTGTTCACCATGTTGATCTTGTTGAAAGGGTTTCGATCCTGAGAGAGGAGCTGTTGGCGATAGGTGATAACAAGGAACAGTTCTATAGCGTTTTGGATGAGAAGGGGCAGTGGCTTTATAGGTCCTACCGTGATGGAGCTGGGATCGTTGAGCTTATGGGTCAGTTCCATCCACATCCTTACTTGGCTCTTCAGGTTTCCTCTACTTTTCTCTCTTTTTTGCTATTTTGGGGTTTAGCTTATCATATTAAAGTCTGCATTCTACTTATATCTGGTACTTGTATTTTCTCTATTTTACATATTTCTTCAGCCATTCCCCTGAAAAAAAAAAGATTTATTGTTCATTTACTGTATATTGGATCAATGTAGAAATCTAAGCCCTCTTTCTCTTCATTGTTTTGATGTTGTGTTATGCTGTGACTTATTTCAGGTTTTAGATTGGAGAAGAAAAGAAGTTAACTGTTATGTTCCTTTAACGTCCGAGGAGTATGCAAAAGGTATCAAACTAGCTGGCCGAGCTAAGGATATAAACCTTGCAGTCGATCTTTTCAATGAGGCAGCAAGAAAACGTGTTATGGCAACTTCTATTTACAATGCTTTGATGGGTACTTACATGTGCAATGGTCTTGCGGAGGCATGTCAATCACTCTTTAAAGATTTCAGGAAACAGACACAATGTGCTCCTTCGGTTGTGACATATAATATTCTAATATCAGTATACGGTCGGCTGCTGATGATAAATAACATGGAGGCGGCGTTCGAGGAACTATGCAAATCAAAACTCGCCCCAAATTCTAACACTTACAATTATTTGATTGCTGGTTATGTTACTGTTTGGAATTGGGAGAAGATGGAAGCTACTTTTCAATTAATGAAGACTGCTCAGGTCAAGCCTGATTTCTACACATATGTGCTAATGGTTCGAGGGTATGCAAATTCAAGAAATTTGGGTAAGATGGAAGAAATGTACGAGCTGATAAAAGATCAGATTGATGAAAACAGAGTTCCTCTGATCAGAGCCATGATCTGTGCATATTGTAGGAATGTTGTCGAAGATAGAGTTAAAAAAGTTGAAAACTTACTGGGGCTCATCTCTGAGGAGGAGTATAAGCCATGGTTGAATGTGCTTTTGATTCAACTGTATGCTCAAGAGGACATTCTCGAAGCGATGGAGGATAAAATTAATGAGGCATTTGAGCATAAAACACGTGTTAATACATCTGGTACTATGCAGGCAATCGTTGGGAGTTACTATAGGTGTGATGCTTCTGTAGACAGTATTGCTAATTTTGTCAAGCGTGCAGAGTCTGCTGGGTGGAAGCTATGCAGATCCCTCTACCACTGTATGATGATATCGTATGGCTCTCAAAGGCGTTTTGAAGAAATGGAAGGTGTTGTCAGTGAGATGGAGAATTTTAACTATGGGTTAGTGGAAAAGACGTTACTCATTATGTTTAAGGCATATATTTCTCATGGAATGGAGTTTAAGGCTAAACAAGTAGTTGGGAAGATGTTGAAATATGGGTACTCCTCGGCATCCCAATGATGATACTCATTTGGTGTCTAATGGACCCAAGTTTGCATGAAGCCTAAAGCTGGTTTTCCTGATTGGTTCAGTTCTTTATTGGATGTTAGCTAATCTCCACAGGATCGAGAGTTAAGAACTCGTCTTGGCATAATTCTCCTGTTTATGGTATCTTACCTTGGTGATGCAGTTAGTATTTAGATTCTTGTCTAGTTTGGCCTATCAGTATCCAGAACTGTCAGCGATGAGCTTTTAAAGAAATTGGTGGGCTGATTTCTATTATCCCTCATTGAACTACTGGGATGAGGGCCTTTTGTTCCCTTCTACATCCATGGACTAGTTGAACATCATCTTTCTGAATCGAGAGAATTAGTCATGCTGAATGTATATCTATCTGCTATCAAGGTGTGGCCTGCATCATGTGAGGATGACAAGATTGAAGGATTTGACTGCGTAAATTTTGTCCTTCAACCCCGGATGAAGGCTGTGGCATGGAGTTATATCCTTGAGATTGCTGTCTGGGTAAGCTTCATCACCTGTTAACATACTGCCAGCCGTTCTTTTCTGCCGGCACTGGAGCTATCAACAAGTTCCAGATTGTTATAAGTCTCCAAATTATTCTAATGTTCAGCTATCAGCATTTTTTACTCCATTTATTCTCCTCAGTCCGACTCCATTTTTGATAGGGTTAATAAAATTGATTAGCAATCACTTGTGTTTCTTGTCTCCCAGTTCTTGCAGTTGTAAGTTATTTATCCTACTCCATTTCAAAAAAGAAAAAGAAAAAGTTCATCCAAGTCTGAATTTCATTTTTTCATGCAACTTTCAGATACTTTTGTCACAAGTTCAGAACCTTTAGAAAAAAAATTTGTTGAAATATATCTTTCAGGACAGAACTGTCGTCCAGAGTATGTTTCGTTTCTTTTAGTTGTGTTAGTTTTACTTCCCTCATATGCTTTCTGGGCTCCAGAGTCAGTTTAGAACCAGTCTAGGGCATGCCCTGATTCATTGTGAGTGTTCACCATAGTAGCTCTGAATCAATGTTGTGTCTTATGATGCTAGAATCTGCAGTTATGCTTCCACCATGATATAGACCATGCATCAGGTTCACCTTCTGTGGGTTTTCAATCATAGCCGAACAGGAACATCATCTTTGATAGGTTCTCAAAAGGGTATTTTTACAAATAGACAATAGGAGAAGAAAGCAGAGCGTGCGTTTCCTCATGCGACACTGAAGGAACTTGCAGTGTTCTCGACGAATTTCCTGGCTCCCTTGAACCACCTCTTGTCTCCAGCTTGTGTCGACAGTTCAGAGTCAGTTTAGAACCAGTCTAGGGCATGCCCTGATTCATTGTGAGTGTTCACCATAGTAGCTCTGAATCAATGTTGTGTCTTATGATGCTAGAATCTGCAGTTATGCTTCCACCATGATATAGACCATGCATCAGGTTCACCTTCTGTGGGTTTTCAATCATAGCCGAACAGGAACATCATCTTTGATAGGTTCTCAAAAGGGTATTTTTACAAATAGACAATAGGAGAAGAAAGCAGAGCGTGCGTTTCCTCATGCGACACTGAAGGAACTTGCAGTGTTCTCGACGAATTTCCTGGCTCCCTTGAACCACCTCTTGTCTCCAGCTTGTGCTTTGCAGATGACCTTCCCCCCGCCGTTAACGGTGGCTGTGATCAGCTGGTGCTTCCCGCCTTCGCCCCCATCTGCCGTTCTCGTCAGCACCGACAAGTAGTAGTACTGTTTCCCTCCGACATCCTGGGACGATGTGTCCAGGATGTTTGCAGATGCCACAGCATTGCCATCGAAACCACCCTGCAGAAACATCAAAGCCATGAGTGTTCAGGTAAAAACTTCTAAAGATTCAATACTGTTTTAGGGTGACAGGTATTCCCGTCATATGAACTAGGAATCTAGGACATATAAATCCTGCATTTAGACTCATTGTCTTGATCAGGGCATGATCTCTTATTATTGCTTGGACAATGACTGTTCTTCTGTCATCTCACCCAAGGGAGTTTAACATTAGAAAGCGTTCGAGTTCTAGGCAATGTGATTTCGAGGGAATTACCTCAGCATCAGTCTTGCCGAAGAAAGACTGTTTCCCGAGCAGGTAGTTGACCTGTGAACACAAAGGAAATCAGATGAATCTCGGTTATTATAGATCGAGACCATCATTATCATCATCATCATCATCATCATCATCAACATCATCATCAACATCATCATGATCATGATCATTACAGTGACTGAGATTCAAGGTACCTGGGAGAGGAACTCTTCGGGAGAACCGAAGTCGGTGATGGACTTCTTGTCGGTAGGAGTGACCATGACAGAGACATTGCTAGTGGCGTCGAAGTTGTCTTCATACCTCAGGACTTGGCCTGGAAACTCCACCTCTTTGCTCGGGTTCCATTTCGATGGGATTACTAGCTTGAATCCTTCCCCACTGTACGCCAAGAAGTCTGTGTCCGACTTTGGCTTTCCAAACACATTTGCTGAAACAAAACCCATTACTCTCTTTTCATCATCTCCACAAGCCAGAAAGATCCTTCTATTCTACCAAGAATTACACTCATGTTTTCATGAACAGATTTAACACTCCATCCACCAAAAAGAAAAGAAAAATTCCAGAGAGAAGAAAGAAACAGGGTCATTGTATATAAGTCACTACGTAGAGTGAAGAAAGAGAGTGGTACCAGCTTCACCGTAGGCGGCGTCGGCGGGGGAGACCTTGGAACCGACGGCGGCGGCGCCGACGAGGAGAGTGAGAGCAAGACGGCGGGAGACGGAGGAGTTGTCTTCCTCCGACGACTGCTGGGCCCTACACACGATCTGGACAGCCCTGGGGGGTGCCACGAGGCGCTGAGATGAGGAGGAGGACGATCGTGCTGCGGCGGCGGAGGAAGCCAGGGCACTCTGGTGTAAGAAGCACGCGCTGTACGCCATTCTCTCCCTCTCTCTGCAGCAATAATCAAAGTGTTGGGATTTTTTTTGAGGATGTGTGCTGTTAAAAGTACTGAGAGTTTTTGAAAGATCACTGGATGAGTTTGGATATTGGAGGATCCAAGTCTTGATGTCGGGATAAGGTTGTATTGGTGTTCCACTCGCCACGTGGCAGAACCCCTTGTCCGGATTCCACGTCAGCTTCACATCTCCTGCGCAGGTTCCTTGCGTTTCAAATTTCAGGCATTATTATCATTACTAAAACTATATTACTATTTTTTCACCTTTGCAAAGTTTTTTGTTACCAAATGCATTATGTAACACACAACAATGTCTTTTCCCTTACCACCAAAACAAGTAATCACCAATTTAATTATATAAGCAAAAAAAAAAAAAAAAAAAAAACAATTCCAAATGTTTGCCAAATTCACTTCTTTGCTCATTCCTTTTGGTAAATGGGGATTTTACAGAATCTGATAAAGATTCCTAAAACGAGATAACCGTAACAAATCATGCGAGACCTAAAATGAGATCATTTTAACCTTATCTGCTTCAGATTGAGGATGAAAGAATCAAACAACTAACCCCACTGCTTTTTTTTTTTTTTTTTAACTCATGGAACGAGATCGGAGTTTCTTTTAACTGGAAGGTTAGATTATCGTTTCCCTTTCTGCTTCTTTCCTCTGCCTTTTCTGGTGCAACCATTCACGGTTTCATCCGCCATTGAAGTCAGTGGTCCCACTGACTGCCTTATGCCATCATAGGAAAGTAGACAAGATATTGCGTACATTGATGCTCCAAGATGAGGCGGCAAATCCTCCTGCGGTTGTCTTACCTACAAAGAGGTGTACAATTCAATGTTTGAAAATCTTAAATCCTAAATCCTAAATCCTAAACCCACTCCGAGTACCTGAAGGCAAAGCAAGAGATAACTAACCTTGAGCAAAATAGACGCGGATACTCGCTGTCTCAAGATGTAGATTTGAGCAGCTTCAAGGGCTGTTGTTTTGAAAGACAACCACCGGTCCACCACCATAGTTACAAAATTATCAGGCGAAGACATGATTTTCTCTCCATGATTACTGCCTCCTTTATCTATGTCCATTCCATCTTCTTCAACCATGTTACCTCCTCCTTCAACCACTTCTCCATGATCTCCATTGCCGAGGGTTTCTGCAGGTGCTACGGCTATCTCTGTCGAGAATAGAACCAATGGGAGAGGGCAAACGGCAGTGGAGTTCCTTATGTGCATACCCCAATCCCCACGGGTGATCTCATCGTAAACAAGCAGCGTACAACCATCACCCTTGTCGGACAATGTCTTGAAAGCAATCGAACGAGAAGACAGACGAACTTTGGCTCCACTAGCAGTCTCCACGACAGGTTTTTTACTATTCGCGGAAGGTGGCAACCATTTTCCTACCATAGGGTACAAACCCACCACTAGAACAGCTCGGAGTATTCCAGGATCATGCGAATTCAAGCTACAACTTGATACATCTTGAGGAATAAGCCCATGTCTAACAAGTTCCGACTTGAGTTGTTTCCGCATTCCATCCAACATCCTCATGGCATTCATGGAAACAAAGTGCTCAGAGCAGAATTTTGCCTCTTGATGACTTTGTTTTGCTTCTTTCCACCCCTCATAGGCGGCAACGACCGCTAGGTGATCACTATCACCTCCATAGAGTGATGCAAACTCAACTTTCGCGTCATCAGCTTTCTTCTTTAGAGTTGGACACATGGGCAAGGTGAACGGATCCTTGTAGTCAGAGGCACATGCAAGAGTAAGAGCTGGATCCAGACAGTTTACTAGTACAGCGAAGAAAAGCATCTTGCATATCACAGGGTGGATTGGGAGACGGCCAATTCTCTCCCCAAACTCTGTCAGCTCTTCCTCAGGTGTGAAGGCCCCAATGTCTTGAAGGACGGTTAATGCATTTCCAATACTCTCAGAAACAGGTGGGTCCATCAATTTTTGAAGGAAATGATGTATTTTACAATTTGGATCAAGCATCTTGACCTGAACATGTTATGTAAGGACAATCAGTAAAGAATTCCATATAGACTGGAAGTTTCAAACGGAAACATGACTGCAAGGATCAGCGCAAAATGACAGCACATCCTCAATAGACAAATTTCATTGATATTAAAGAGATGACACAAAACAGTACCTGTAAGCAGACTTCTTCTATTGGCATCCTCCTAATTTCAGGAACGCTGAATTCTGGCAAAGAGGATGCTCGGACACTGGAATAGAGATGATAACAAATGCCAGGTTGGCAGCGGCCTGCTCGACCCTCTCGCTGTTTTGCATTTGCTTTAGAGACCCATGAAGATTGGAGTGTTGACACATTATTGTAAGGGTCGTAGCTCTTTTCCTTCATCCGGCCACTATCTACGACATAAACCACATCATCAATTGTAATGGCTGATTCAGCAATATTGGTAGCAAGCACAATCTTGCGACATCCTGGAGGAGGGCGTTCAAAAACTTTCCTCTGCTCTTCTGCTGGAATCAACGAGTGAAGACATATAATGCTGAATTTATTCCTTGCTGCAAAGAAAGGTTTATCAAGAAGTTTCTCTCTCATTTTGTTTATATCATCCCACCCAGGTAGAAAAACAAGAATGGCCCCATCTTCTGAATCACCACATATTTTTCTCAACAAACGCGTTATAAGACCCACATCAACCTGCTCTGGGTTCGCAGTCGCCATATAATTATCAAGCAACTGCTCTCCTTGCTGTGACTTGGAATTTTGAGCATATTCTCTTATTATTTGAGCAGCTTCAAGCTGATTTTCCCTTTCAGCCAATTTTAATGCTGTTAAACCATCTTTAGACTTCAGACTCCAATCTGCACCAAATGAGAGGAGCATGCAGACATCACTGACCCTGCCCTTTCCAGCAAAGACCATTAGTGGTGTTAGCCAGGTTGATGAGTGCTGGTAATTGTAAATTTTGCTAGTTCCCGCAGGAGAAACTAGATCTAGCAGCGCATCATACTCATCATTCAACCAAGCCAAATCCATTGCTTCATCCAAAGCAATTTTATCTGCATCTGTGATATCATGTTTGTCTTCTAATGTATTCAAGTTGACCGAGTCAAGATGATTGGTTTCCCCTGATTTCAGAATAGAGAGAACATCCTCTAGATAAAACGTTCTCACCTGTACAAACAACAGTGATGTTATATTGAAACTAAAAATGCTAAGGGAATAGTATCATAGAAAGCCTGAGAGACTAACCGGATAAGTGAATCCAGGAACACGAATAACAGGGCAACCTCCAAAATATTCAGAAAATCTCCCAGCATCAAGGGTAGCACTCATTAAAATCTGTTGGTCCATAAATAAGAGAAAATATGTCAGCTAAAAGGATTCTTGGATCAGAAGATACTCAAAAGAATTATTTGGCGAGTCACTGAACCCAACAATCTCAAGTTCTTAGGCTAAAAACAAGGTCTCGTCAGAATTCACTCATTCCTGCCCCGTATAGCCTGCCACACTCTTGTGCACAGTAATTGTCTTTAAACAATATAAAAAACTTTGCCTTCCACATGGTATCCAACTTAAGCAATAACCAACTCATACTTTTCTGGAAATTTCTCAAGAAAGGACAAGGGAGGCCGGGGAGGAAATTTTATTTTTGGCTTTAGATAACTTAGCATTTTTCTTTCATCATATTAAAGAGACACACGAGAAGAAAAGTATCGCTTGTCCTTTCCTTTCCATTCGAATTGTGGCAATAGAAAGGTTCAGTGAATGACCTCTAATCTACCCTTTCAAATAAACTAAAAGTCTAAATTGTAAAACATCAGTCTCAAGCCCAACAAACCCTCAACCATTCCCCAGCCTGCCTCTTTCTGTAGATAAAAACAAAGTAGAAGATATAGGATAACATAAACTCACCAGTCGGAGATGAGGTTTTGTTGGAAGCATGTCCCTGTGAATTGACAAAACCCTCAATGATCTCAACCGAAAAATAAATAATTCTTTTATTAGTAATTGTCTTCTCTCGTCATGTGAGGCTTCACATAAGGAATTCAAATAAAAGAAAATGCTGAGTATCTAAATTTTGAAGTCCTTCTAGCATTTTTATCTTTGCTCATTTGGTTAAGATTTTTTTAAAGAGTCACAATCTGAGCAACTCAGTGTACATGAAAACTAGAGAGTCTACCTCAAAATTGCCAACATGAAATCAGAGAAGCAATCCCTTTCATGGATTTCATCCTACAAAGTAAAAATAAGTTTAGTGAGCAAGGTAGATAACCATAAAACCGTATAAGGAGCCTATGACGAAGAACAACCGCAAACACGGTATGTTTTGATAATTTTGTATTGACAGTTATCGACTTTCTTCAGCCAATCTATCCAGTGCCTATAGAATAGAAACACATACTTACTGAGCAAACAACACATCACAAATCAAATCAGTACGTGCCACATACCACAATGATGTGAGTTATGTTGGACACACAACTGCCAGAACCTTGGCCAACAAGCACCCTCAACAGAATGCCATTCGTGCAAAACACAACTGATGAATGCCTTCCACCCCTGGTTTGCAGCCGAACCTAGAGTAGAAACAAAAAGTCAATGGTGCATAAAGAACCCAAAAAAATACCACATGTGTGGCTTTGTGTGTGAGACCGAGGCAAGATACTGAGTCAAGAGAGCCATTACTAATATTCATGTTAAATTTTTCTGAAAAAATTCTGCATAAAAAAATAAATTGAGGAGCTGCCCAAGGAAAAGAAACAGTAAACACATACATCATTTTCAGCAGAGGCTATTTGTCTAAATTTAAAAACCGGCGTCCTTATTGTTGTTGTTGAAGGAAAACTAAATACAAAGATACCAGGGTGCATACAAATCAGAAAGTCACTGAAGTCCATAAATTAGTCAAAGATTCAAAGTCTAATAAGCACACCGCTTGATAATCAGAAGGTTTTGAGTAAAAAGAGAACGAAAAATAGAAAGTTATCCTGACCAAATGAAAAAGGCTGAACCAATGAGGCAACAAGAAGCATACTTTATGTGATGCCCAAGAAAATACAATGAATCCTACGATCACCAGAAAGGTACACACTCAGTTCAACAAGTCCATACGCTGTATTAAGACTTTGAAACTCAGACCAATGAAAAGTACCACGTGCATAAATAATCGTTTCAAATATTTTAGTTGAAGTTCAGATCATTCAACCACAAATCTAAAGAAACACAAATTTCAGAAACACCTTAGCAAACAGGAAACACTTCTGACACACAAAACCACATAACTTCAATGTGGCAATTCAAATGGTGTTGCACCCATCTCATGCAAATAAATGCAGGAAAGCAACGAAAAGAAACAATTTCCAATAGACATAATATATGGCTGTCCAGCATAAAAAACAGTTATTTCCAAAGGGATATCTTACCTTGAAGCCAATATCGTGTCCTATACTTTCACCTCTTTCGCATGATATTCTCTCAGAAACTTCAAAGTATGAAAAGAAATAGTTAACAAGGAGTTAGCAGCTAATACCGTTAAAAATCATGCATATAGATAACAAAACTGACACACCACACTAGAACATTGAGGATAAGAAGTTGAATAAAAACCTACGAACCAGATATGGCTGAGATACGGCGAGGTTGAGTGCAAATAATTTTGCAAGCTTCCCCCTTGCTCCACATATGGTCTAAAAGGTATTGAGGTACCTAAAACATTAAGAATGAAGATCTAACCGAAAAATCTCCGACAAATGCAAAAATAAGAAAACGATTCCACCCCACAACCTCTTAATCACTGCTAGCTCAAACTATCACTGAGAAACACAAAAAACAGAAACCTTACACAGATGCCCACATGAGATATCACAAGGATAGCAAAAATGATGTAAACACCAACACTGGAATTTTCATGGAAAAACTGTAACATTCGCCAGACATCATAGAAACCACCAAAATATCCCACCATTGTAGGGATTTTTTTGGAGGGGGTCAGTGTGCCGGTGGGCACCCTCTAAGGATTTATTACAACAGAATAATGAAAAAACTGCTTACCGATTTGTTCCACTAAAGCCTCAATATTTCAACACTCGAACTAAGATTAGCCAATCCAACTATTCAGAATAAATAATAAAGTTGGGTTGCAAATTACCAACTTTACAAAATTGAATTAATACCGTTGACCACCTTATGGATCTAATGTAGCAAACCATTAGCATCTCCAAAATCTAGGGACAACTAGCTACTACCAGCACCACAAACTAGGTAGTAAAGTTGTAAATTGATCACGGAAACCACACAAAAATGAACAACGAAAAAATATACATTAAGCAGTTGTTTCTTATCAACTACAAAAAAGGAGATGAGATATCAACCTGAGTAGTTTTCCCGCATCCAGTTTCACCAGAAATGAGAACAATCTGCATTTAGATTGAGGATACACATGTATAAATTAGCCAGAGACAGAAGTCACCAGTAAATGCAATACCTCCAAATACATGAGCCATGACTCAGGCACTAAATAGAGAAAAAAAAAAGATAGCATATCTGAGAATCAAATAACCTGATTGGATTCCACAGCAGATGTAATGGCATCACGGAAAGATGCTATTGGAAGCTTTGACCGCTTTTCAGCTATCTGTGACATCATCCAAATATTTTTTCTTTTTATTTCCTCGTCATGTTGCATGATTTAGAACTTCTCAAACTGGGTACAAAAATAATACTACATTCTGCTGACAAATCTTAAGGATCAGTTAACTGCTAACCTGCTGAAGCCTCGTATCCTTTTCTACTCTAGTAGCTAAGGATGCCACTTTTTTTGCTAATTCTTCTCTGTTCATCTGAGGTTTACTGAAAAAGTCATCTTTCCATGAGCACCCTCTACCTGACTTTTCAATATATTTTTCAAATGATGTCTCTTCAGCATCTTCCTCACAAGGTGGGTGATGCATAAATAACTCCTGCAGAATAGCTTTTGCCTCTGGTGAAAATGAAATCTTCGGTTTGTTATCTTCCTTCTTCTTAGAGTTTTTAGACTTTCCCTTGGGAATTTTATGTTTGTAAATGGAAATACGCCTTTGATCCCCAACCCTACAAAGTATCCAACATCATCAGACGGTTCCAATAAAGCTGTTTGCTCCCATGGACAAACACTAGAGAGTGCGTGCGTGTATCAATTGTAACTCACCCGGAACTTTTCGAGTACAAACCCATTTTCTGGCACATCTGATGAATTGCACCACGTTCTTGATTCGAAAGATGAGACTCGAAGGTATAAACTACACGCAACATGCAATACACAACGTTTGAAATAATCAAATAATCAATGCTACTCCAAATGCAAAGCATAGCTAAATCGTAACGAAATCATTCCCGAAAACAGCTAACCAAAATAAAATTAATGGCAAGAACTCAAACAAAGAAATGGAAGCATTGAACCAAAAGCAGCAACCGAAGCTAAGAACTTGAAAGTCACCTTCATCGGGGGAGGCGCGAAAATCTTCGAGGAACTTGGTAGCCCAAATCCTGGTTGTTTCGGCACGAGTAGGTTCCCCGGAATCACGTTTCTTCTTCCCCATCGGAAATGTTATCTAGGGTTTGTCTCTCTCTCTCTCTCTTGCTGAACAGAGGAGAGGGAGTACGGCTGCTTTCGTTCTTTGTATTAGCTTCGGAGAGGGATTGTTATGCCCTAGAGAGATACACACGACACGTCTGCTCGTAAAACCGCCTTCTGCCTCTCCCTCTTCTTCCCCTTTTCCCCTTTTGTTTTTAATTTAAAAAAGAAAAGTCATTTTAGGGAAGAACAAAAGGTGCTCTCCGAATTATTTGGAATATGCTTTTGGGCTGGGCCCCTAAGGCCCATTTTAGGCTTTGAGGCCCATTAAGAAATATATTAGATTGGTCCAATATGAATGAACAAATGAGAGGCCATCTAAGGCCCGTTTGGGTGATATGACTACTGATAATGTGATTTGACCATAAAGTAACGAACAAATATTTGAATTTTAAATACTCATAATAAAACTAATTTAAGCGAAGGTCTTTATAGAATTTTTAAAATCTAAAAACTAAAAAAATTTGATAATAATTTTTTTATAAAATTCATTTTTCTAAAAATTTGAAAAACCATGAAAAAATCAACTAAAAATTAAAAAATTTCATTGTTTTGAATTTACAAAAACCAAAAATCAAAAACAAAAAATTAAAACCAAAAATTCAAAATCAAAATTACTATTATTCAAAGGCTTAGAATGGACAAAAAATAACCAAAAAATAAAAGAATTTGAATAATGCGGAAGACACTCATTGTTCGAGCGTTACTGCCATTTCAAAAACCAAAACGAAGCGAGCGTTATCACACGCGCTGGCGCGTGGGAGAAAACGCACGAGCAAGTGTCTTTTCGATTTGTGTGCTCTCTCGTCTCATTCCCTCGCATCCGCTGTGTTCAAAATTGGGATAAAACGACCTACCATCTCTCTCTCTTTCTCTTTCTTGTTTTCCGTTTGGTTCCCGAGAAAATCTCTTCCTCCTGATTGACAAGCATTGTGGTTCTTCCGTCGCTGTTCACCTATCAAGAGAAATTAATGATATGAGACACTTGCTGCTGAAGCGGAGGATAAATCTCTTCTGCAGATCGGCGCTGCGATTTCTTGACGTATCAGTTTGCAGAGCCATGGGCTGTTTCTTCAACTGCTTCCGCCCCAGAGACGATCTGTCGACCAATAATCTCGCATCTCACTCTACTCGCGTCAAATCCAGAGTAATTCTTCCGTTTCCCCCATTTTTCCAGAGTATTTATGGCGAAGAAACCTTTTTCTTTTGCCCTTTTCTGTGTTTATAGACGTAGAATCAGTTGTTTAGATGGTCATAGAGAGAGTCGATGGTATTGGAAGAAAACCTGTGCTAAATTCGCTTATATGACGGAGAATTAAACTAATCGTCGAGTCATGTTTGGCTGGCCATTGAGTTTGATTCTGTGAATGAACTTTCAACATTTAAGTTCATAATCTGTTCTCCCTTCTTTAGTTTTCGTAGAGCAAACATCATTTTGTGTTTGTGACTTATGCAGAGAGGTCAGTCTTCGCAGAATCCTTTATCAGCCTTGTTTCAGTCTGAAGGTGAATCTCCTATTTTTACGTGCATTCTGTATGGTTCGAGAAGTATGGCTCATTGAAGTTCCAGTTTTCTTCTTGGTTAGTGATTCAAGGGCTCCCCTTGGTCTTGTTTTTTGATTTTCTATGGAAAGCAGCATCACCTGGCCCGAAAAAAGAAGGATCTGGCTTGGATTCTATACATATTGATAAAGGCCTCAAGGATGAGGTATGTTGGTATTGGTGGGAGCATTGTATAGTGCTACTGTTCATGTGGATTTTGCACTTTGTTGGCTTTAGAATGATCAAGATTTACCCATGATGCATTTTAAATTTCAATTTTGCCAAGTTTTCATTTGCTGCAACTTATGTCTTGGTACATTCATGTGCAAATGTGTATACTTGCATTTTGACTAATAATTTTCTGAAGTTTAGATAAGCCAGCCAGATATGGTAGCCAGAATCCTTTTTTTTTTTTATCTCACTGATCTACAGATTTTGATTTTCGATGCCTTTGATTTGAGAGCCTAACTCAGTGGTACTACCTGTGGAAATTACAGGCGCGGTTTCTTAAAGCTTGTGGTACGCTACCAAAGACCCCAATGGAGATCCGGAATGCATCCAGAAAACAAGATACTCCCCAACATGAAAGAGATTCTGTATCTTCCCAATTTCATTCCTGGATTTCCGGTAGCTTGGCTGTGAAGTCTCTCATGGATGAGAATACTTATGAGCCCCCAACTCCTCTCAAAGCTTGTGAAGAAATGGGACAGCACTCGGTTGCTTCAGAGCAAACACCTGGCAGGTGGAATACCAGACCTTGTTTGTTTTAATAAACACCATGTCTAGCTTGCAAATAGTAATGCATCTTAGCATCTCTTCCTTCTGTTTGATAGACGTTTCGTTTTGATATCCCACATGCATGATTCGCATCTTACAAATAGGTTTTAGTGTACACAGATGGATTTGACTCTTGGCTCTTTTTCTCTCCAATCTAGTTGTGTGACCGATGCCCAAAACAGTGGTAGAATCGCTTCCATTTTTAGTGAAGTTAACGAAGAAGGACTTGGAAACATTGGGACAGAATTCGAGGGTGAGGTGGACAAAACCTGCAGAGCTACACCAGCAGCTGGAAACGTATCGGGGAGGATCAAATCTGTGCGGTTTGAGTGTGACTTTGATCAACCAAACTCTTCTGGTTCTTCCTATAACAGCAGTTCAAGAAAGCCTGAGATGATGGCCAGACCAAATTTTGCAGTGACCTCGCCTAATCCAACCCCGTTGAAGCTCTCTGATGAGATGCAAACTCCTGGGACTGTCTTTCCTGCTTATCTTGAATTAGCGGGAAGGGGGAAGCCTAAAATAAGGTCTCAGTTTGTATATCCCCTCTCCAAACGAATCGAAAATGCCACTTTATCTAAGTTTCCTGCAGAGTCAGAGTCAGGTGAGAGCCTAGAACGGGATAAAACGCAGGCCTGTAAAGAAATACATGGGAGAAAAGGGGAAGAAAGTTCGTGTGAGAGAGTTTTGAAGGTCGAAGCTAGTAGTTTTTCTCCATGGCTGAAGCAAGGCAATGAGGAAAATGGTGATAATGCAGCAGCTTTGTCTCCTCGAGCTGCCATGACTCCTGGCGACAGGCCTATTATTGGGATGGTTGCGGCTCACTGGAACGTGGAAGAGCTCTCAACGCAAGTTTCACCCAAGTGGTGGGATGGAAATGGGATCCCAAATTCAACAAACAAGTACAAAGAGGTATTTTTGCATTTTATTTCATCTTTTCATGGCTCTAAACAGTTACTCTTCCTGTTTGAACTTATTATTATTATATGCACCGAGTTTTGCTTTCTCTGTAGGATCAAAAGGTGAGCTGGCACGCGACACCATTTGAGGAGAGATTGGAGAAGGCTCTTTCCAAAGAGAGTTTCGTGTCTCAGACTCAAAGGTGTGGATTCCACTCTTTCAAAATTACCGGTGTTTGGATGATCCGATTTGCTCAGATGAGAAGGAAGCTGCCGATATATTGTTTTTTTATCCTATATATATGTATGTATATATGTATGTACAGTTTTCATGGAAATTATACAGGTGATCTGCCTGCTAATGTAGTGCTGAAACCTGGTTCCACAGGAAGACATATGACGGGGGAATGGGAGTAATGGAGGAGGAGGCTGAAGGAGAAACTGCCATATCACAGCTGCAGCATTCAGCAGCACAATCCAAGTCAGTAGTTTCCTTCTGAAGAGCCTAAAAACGGGTCTTCTGCTTCCGTACAGAGAGTATGATGTGCTCATTATTATAATACCTATCATGAGCTGCAATGATACTGGTATATGCCTGCGTTATACAACAAATTTTAATGGTTATACAACATTTTTTTTCTAGTGAATGAACGAAAACGTTTGGGGGGTCCGGTCCAATGTCATGTGATTTCCCATATGCCTCAGTAAACCGAATACGAAAATCAATCGAAAAACCATGTTTCATTAGAAGGAAAAAAAATGAGAAAGAGAGAACATATGTCCCATGCAAAGCCAGAATTGCTTCTACATGGACCAACATGTATTGTTCAGAAAACGATCAGAAGCAAACAATAAGACCATTTTAACAGTAAACCTCCGAAAATCCAAGTGTATATATATGTACGAGATCAAGGCTGATGAAACGATTCCGAGGGATGAACATTGCACTGGCTGCTATTGTTCCCAGAGGTAGTCACTACCGAAATATCAAGACTGCTGCTATGTTCACTCTCGGATGCTACTTCTCTCACGTCGGCTATTCTCGCCTCTGTTGCCTCTATATCATTCCACTTGTTCTCTCCAACAGGTTCAGAACTCACATGTTCTTCTTCTTCAGCCAGGTGGACTACACTCTCCCCCGGTATTGAGGATGTTCTCGACATGCTTAGGCAGGCTTTATCCACGTTCTTTTCAGACGGGTTCACGTCCTTTGTCATGGGAAGTGATGTTTCACTGTTGGATGTTTCGGCTTTCTCCTCAAACACTTGCTTCATGTCCATTTGCTGCCTGTTTCATCAAAAAAGACAGACTTTGTGTCAGAGTTGAAACCGAGATCATTACAATCTGTGTTACCAAATCTAATTGAAGGCCAGAATCTCTCTGTTTGCATGGTTCGAATCAACTTCAATTAGAGATGCGAGAACCCACCTTTGAACTTGTGCTTGCAACATATTCACATACGCTAAAAGCTCTTGCTTCTCCTTTGAAGCAGTTGCCTCTCTTTGTGAAGCTTCCTTCAGTTTAGCCTCGGCATCTGCTTCTGCAACCCTGGCTTTCTCCTCGGCCCTCAGAACAGCTGCCTCTAGTATTACAACCCGCTCTATGGATTTCGCAAGCTCGGACCGCCACATTTGCGCTTCCTGGAGAGCAGAGTCTCTCTCCTTAACCAATTGGTCTTTCTCCTTACTCAGAGTCCAAGTCTTTTCTGCGAATTCTTTCAGCTTCATTTCGCATGCAAGTGGTCAATACAACATACAGTAAATAATGAAAGAAATACAAAGATGAAACAAACGCATGTACTCAAGCATATTTGGAATGATATCAATACCTTTGATTCAGTGGCTTCCCTCTGCCTTTCTGATTCCTTGCTTAAACGCTCAATTTCAGAACATGCGATTTTTCTCTGTTCATCCATCGTATGAGCGGCAGATGCAGCAGCTACAGCTGCCTCAGCTGTCTCAGATAACTTATTTGCTATCTCCTTTATCGTAGAATCACGAGCACGAAGTTCTCGGGCCAAATTCTGCAATTCTTCATCCTTGACACGTAGAGTTTCCTGTAAGGCGAATCAGCTTTGTCAAGCTAATATGGATATCAAAAACGATATGTTACATGTTTTGGTTATAAAAGAAAAGAACAGGTGGAACCAGAAGAGCGATGTAACAATATCTTGCCTTCATGATCGTCAAATCATCCAGTGGTCCATCCCTTGGTTTAACGGCCATCGTCCCTAATGCATTCCTCAAAGAGATCTGCATTGCTGCTTGAATCTCTTTGGAACATTCCAATGCAGTTGAATTCGCAGCAGCAACAACAGTTGCAACAGTCCCGAGTTTTGCAGAACTGCTCCCACTTAAAGAATCAACAGCCTCCTTATGGGCCTTGAGGACTAACTGTGTTGCACTGGTAATCCCCAACACATATTGGGAAAAACAAGGATAAGGTTAAACATATTCCACATAGATGAAGGGATCACCTTCAGGTTTTATACAGAAAATGACATCTTCAGAAGGAAGAATTTGAAAAAGAAAAAACAAATCTTGCCCAGGATGGCACAGAGAAAAACCAAAAATAATATGGCCCATGGTTGTTGTCTTGCCTCTCCGAAAAGCTTCATGAAGAGACATGAATACATTCAACAGGCAGTCGTGTTATTCTCCTTAATACCCTGATTTCGGTTATTTGTTATGGTCTTTCGATAGTCTCTTTGCATTTGAGATATAAATTTAGTTTTAAGGTAAACTATTTGGGAGCACAATAGAGTATTAACAGTTCATAAGTCTTTTTTTTTTCAGGGGTGCTATGAGCATGAACAAAAACAAGATACCTTGAATTTGATGGTCAACCAGACATTATCACAAAACACAAGGAGCGTGAACAGGATAAGTGGAAGAAATGTATCCTTCTAAAAATTGGTAAAGAAATAAAAACCACACAGCTCGAATACATACAAAAGAGTAAAGTTCCAGATGGCTTACTGTAAAGTTGCAACCCAAGCTCTAGCTGCGCCTGGAGTTTCTGCACACAAAAAGTAATCCTTCTTCTGTGGAGTACCAATATCTAAATCAAATTAAAGAAAACCCGGTCTTACATTCCCACGAAAGTATCTACATTCAGACTTGCATAGGAAAGAAGGAACAGAAATCTGCCGACATTTACTAGAAAAGGATACAGAAACAGCAACCATCATACTTTGGAAGCCCCCTGAACAACAAAAGCAATGGAAAGACAGATTCAATCAAGTGCTGAAGTCGATAATAAGAAGAAACACTCAATAAGCAGAGAAACACAGCATCATACTGGAAGTTCACAGGAGAGATGGTGATGGTGCTATTCTCGTCAAACATAATCGATCCCTTAATAGTCGGTTCGTTTCGTCTGGTCCTGAATCACGAAATACAACAATGATGAGTATGTGGGAAAATCCATACAAGGTTGGGTTACCCCATCAGCTAACTCCATATACTCACTTGTATTCCATTTTCCCGGTCGTTGGATCAAGTATTGCCCAACGCTCATTCCATTTCCGCAGCTATTCACGAACGACAGGAGTATAAATTCATAAAAGGTAATCTTTTCATCACACAAACATTGTGATATTTGAAAACTACTACCAAAAACTCCCATAGAAGATTTTCTCAGACAGGCAGTTCAGTAACTACATCAAAAGGCAGATCTAGTCAGCTTCTTCCATGTCTATTTTAATCCAAAAGCAATGCAGTATCTGTGATCTAAGGCTAAAAGATGACACAACATCAGCTAATTCCAACTTCAAACACTAGGAAGATTAAGTTCGACAGTCACAAAACCATGAGATCTCCATATCATTCCTGCTATCACAGCAGGTATCTGCTCATTTTATCTGCTGTTCTCTCTGTTAACTCTATTTTGAAGAGAATGATGTATTTGGTGAAATTTCTGCTAGGACTGTGTATTTTGATTTATGTGTCACTAAGTTAAAATACCTACATTTTTTCAGTGCAAATGTCACAAGTCTAGGGATCTTGAACAGGCATAAAATTCATTGCATTCGGACTACACTAGAAGAATCTCATTTCTGCCATTTGGTTTTGACATGCAATCACATGAGCCTAACGTAGTGGCTCGCATTATATCAATGACTAGAATATTGCTTCCTTTCATGGTACTTAAAAGTTTCTTTGTGCTGCAGCTAAGTAATGATACATGTCTAGCATACACACTAGCAACTATGAGCAACTTGCTATCAGAGGCTGGTGTTGCAAGCACTTTTGGTGCTCTTGGATCATCGTACTCACCTGTCAGTAGCTCTGGTTCTTCACTATCAATACAACAACAGCTTTACATTTTTCTGAAAGATTCTTTGAAGAGAGCTGAAAGTCTAAAGTTAAAACGTTTGGTGGCCTCCAATCATCTTGCAATGGCTAAATTTGAGTTGATGGTAAGATCTAAACTTGACTGTCAATGATCATGTTTCTTATTTTGTGTTCATTTTATATTCTTAAAAGCTGTGGGAAACTTTAATTTTCCATTCATAACAATATCTCACTCGCATTCGTTTTGGTGTATTCCTGCTCACGAGGCATTACAAAGAAATATTAACCAATGGGTTTTTGCAGATTAACCGCGTGAAGATGATCACATCAAGGTTTTGCACAAAAGAGAAATCGGGCTGATGACAGCAACTATCGATCATTCCATTCAAATTAAACAGACTTAGCCAAGCAAAAAGTAGAAACGAAAGGAACATACAGTTTCAGACCGCTTGAGAAGCGGTCCCTGGAGCAAGTTCCGACCAGACCCAGAAGCAAGCTGCCGCTTGATCTTCTCCAAGCTGTTCTCTGTAGCATCAGCAGCTCTCTTCTCATTTGGAAAATTACCCACAAAACCCACGAAACAGGAGGATCAATTCCGAATCTAATCTAGGAAACCAGTCAATAGAAAGCAAACAAATTGAAGCACAGATCGAAAGAGGGAGAGAGAGAGAGAAGAAAGGAGACCGCTGAAGCGCCATTCGAGGCCATATTGCTAGGGATCGGCGAGATCGAGAGGAAACGAAGCGATCTTGGACAGCGATTGCTCGGACCGGAGAGAGAGAGAGAGAAGAGATGGGTTTTAGGGGTTTTTATGGGTTTGTGCCGAAGAAGAAGAAGAAGCTGTTAGGTTTGGTTTCGCGGACTTGCAGTTGATAAGAACGTAAAAGCGAAAAATCTGAACTTTCCTTCCAACCACTCCGTACCATCCACCGGACTTTGTACCCTCCGGCAGCCGAGCTAAATTCTTAATCTCTCATTTGTCTTTTACATTTTTATATACACGCGCATGTATATATATATATATCGGAAATTATTAATAATAAGTAATATTTTCTTTACAAAATCCATTCAAACCCTTCGCTGCTCACTTTTCCCGGTTCCGTTCTCGTCATCGCCATTTCCAAGTGCCCTAACCCAACAATTCTGCTTCTCGGACAAAAAATTCCGAGAGAGAGAGGGAGAGCGATGTTGGGTTGGCGGGCGTTCGCCGGAGTGTCGGAGTGACGGTGAGGGAGCGATACCACCTTACAAGAGAGATTGCTGCTGCGGGCGGCGGCGAAGATGGCCGGGATGACGAGAACAGCAGGAGCATTTTCGTTGACACCTCACAAGGTCTCCGTCTGCATTCTTCTGCAGATCTACGCGCCTTCTGCTCAGATGTCTCTTCCTTTCCCTTTCTCTTCCGTTTCTCAGCACAATCGACTCGGCCTCTACTTGCTCGCTCTCACTAAGGTTGTTTTCCATCGTCTGTTCGATTCTCGATTCGGTCAAGTTAACTTCGATTGTTTTCATTAATTTGCGTCGGTTTATATTTGAAAGTTTCTCTTTTGTTCCGAGTTTGCTTTGTAAATAGTCGTTGCTACATCATCGGAAATTAAAAAGCAAAACTTTGTTGTATCTTCCCCTTCTTTTTGGGGTTTGTATCAATAATTGCTTAAAGGGTATTTTTTTTTTTGTAGTTCAGATAACGCGTGTGGAAGTTATGTATCATTCGCGTGGTTCTTGTAGGTTTAGCTTTTGATGTAGTGAGGAGTGTGGATATGTTGGTTTTGTGATGAATCACCTTTTGCGATTGATAATATCTCTGACGAAATTAACATTTCTGTTCCAGTCTTGTGATGATATATTTGAGCCGAAGCTCGAAGAGCTCATTAAACAGTTGAGGGAAGTCGGTGATGTGATGGATGCTTGGCTAACTGACCATTTAACTAATAGGTTGTCCTCTTTGTCGTCAGCAGATGATTTGTTGAATTTCTTCAATGACATGCGAGGTTTGCTAATTTGCTTCTTTAGTATTCAGTTTGTTTGCTCTCCTCATGCTTTATATTATTCATTAATCATCTTTTCTGTATCCACAGGAATACTTGGGAATCTTGATACTGGAGTTGTACAAGATGATCAGATTATCTTGGATCCTACTAGCAACTTGGGAATGTTTGTTCGTCGTTGCATTCTTGCATTTAACCTACTATCATTTGAGGTGTTGTCCTTTCTGCGTCCCATCTTATTCTACTCTTTTCAAACTGAATGTTATTTGCCCTCTAACTTAATGTTCTGAAGCAATCACTGGGAATTCAATATTCTATTTGTTTGAAGGTCTAAATTAAACCATTCATAGCAAAAAGACCAACGCCACAATGTGGATTGTTTCCCTTTTGTTTTGTTGATGCCTTTAAGTAAGGCCAATATGATGTCTATGTCTAAATATCTCCAAGAGGTTCGTTCTTTTTTGTATCCACTTAGCTGGAGAATTATGGAAAAAGGTGTGGTGGGCGATCAGTTCTTGTCTATGTTTGACGTATGGTGCAGACATGGTCGACATACTTTGAATCTGATATTTTTTGGCATCATTCTAGCAGACCTCATTGAAGGTTAATTTCTAGTTGCTACATTCAGAATGAGTTTGGTGAACCTGCTTGTGTATTCCTCTCCCCTTCTCCAAGTTATAGATACCAAATTTGTTGTTTGGAACATAATCAATTATGTGTCGTACAGTGGTGGGGTTTTGACTATTTCCATTTACCGTCTTTGTGCTATGAATTTTTTTCTCTGCACTCAAGGAATAAAGAGTGAATGCTTGCATAGTTTCTGTGTTACTGACAAGCCATTTCATTGACATGTAAAAATGGGCAGGCCATTTGTCATCTTTTGACAAACATTGGACTCTACTGCAAAGAACCGGATCCAAGTTCTGCTCCATACAAGCTGGCTCAATTTGATGATTCTGATCATAATCTGGATTTCTTGACTTACGAGAAGATGAACATGGAGAATTTTGTAGCTAATAAAGTGACAGAAGAAATGGAGATACAAAAAGATGCTGGTGGAAGAGTCCCTTTTCACCTTCATACCCCGGAAGCCCTCTTTAGAGTGATAAAAGGTATTCCTTATTTTATTCATGCCCTTTTGCTGGAAGGAAATGTGCGGTCACTCATGTGAGCTCATTCAGGTGTTACAAATGGAAGTTTGCCTAATCAAATTGAGTTTTATGTATGCAGTATGGCCGTAACTTGGGTGTTGATTTCCTTGTACATGTTTGATAACAATTTGGCTGACAGATGGCATCTTTGTTAGAATCCAAGTTCTATCCATCATTTTGTAATTATTTTTATTTGAAGAGTTATGACTGCTGGTATAAAACCTTACTAAGCTTTCATACCCGCCTTTGTGTGTTTTTCTTTCTTTATTTTGGATTTTCCGTTTTGTGTTTGCTTCTTTTGTAAAGCTATAAATGCTTTATTCATGTAGATCTTCAAGTTAGTAGGGAGGAGAAATCAAGACCCAGTAGGAAAAATACAGAGGCTGCTTCATTTGCTAGTACTTCAGCAAGTAATCTTGGGGATGATGAGTTTGGTGAGACAGTATTCCTTCGGACAAACTGGCAGATACAAGGCTACTTAATGGAACAAGCGGATGCAATTGAAGCGTAAACACACTTCTATGCCCTATAGTATCAGTTACGCTATTAAAATTTATCAGTGCTTTATTGATCCTCATGTCTTTTTTATTTGGAGGCAGCCATGGAAGTTCGTTTTCTTTGAGTTCTATCGATGTTTTCCTAAAGCAGCTTCAGAATTTGGCCCCTGAATTACATCGTGTAAGATCATATGGCTCTTTACGTCTGCCTTGAACTTTTTAAGCGTTCCTACTGATGACATACAACAATGCAGGTTCACTTTTTGCGTTACTTGAATAAACTTTACAATGACGACTGTTTTGCTGCTCTGGAAAATCTCCTCCGCTACTTTGATTACAGGTAATCTCTAATCTTCCTTTTTTCCCCCAAAAAGTATGCTATATCTGCTGAAGGTTATTAACAGTTTGTCCCTTAGTACCCAATAGTGCCTCACATGATAGATTAAGAGTATGTGTAACATTGTTTGGAAACTTGAGCTGAGCCATGATCCATGACCTAAAAGTGCAGGGAACGAGGGCTTTGATCTTGTTCCTCCTTCAGCTGGTTGTAGCATGTATGGAAGGTATGAGATTGGTTTGCTATGTTTGGGAATGATGCATTTCCACTTTGGGCACCCTAAGTTGGCTTTGGAGGTGAGCATTAATTCTCCATTGTACTTCTATTGCCAAATCAGGTGTTGGTGATCATTAAATGAAGCCTGCCTGAATGGCATTTATTCTTGTAGGATGTTTTGATTTGCTATTGTTGAAGCTGGGATGTTATAGGTGTTTTTGCAGTCATTGTCAGATGTGCTACCCCGGCCTCTGCAGTACCTTGATTTTACCTGAAAATGTATTGGTTATTCTGGACAGAATAGTTGTTTTATTGCATTAAAAAAAAACTTTTGCAAGCTGCGTAATTTGCCTGTGCTTGCACTTATCGTTTAATCTATAAGGAGATTGGATTGTTTATTTCATGCTTCTGTTTTTCTCAAGTTTGTTCCTTTAATTTTTTGGCTTTTGGTGTATCCTTCTGAAGTCCTTTTGGGGTTAGTTTAGTTCAAGAAAGAAGCATTACAAACTTTTGTTTGATTTCCAGTGAATCAATTAACTTTTCTACTTGATCTTTTAAGTTTGAATTTATAAGAGATCTCAGAAGACATCAAGCTGAGGTCTTATCAATGTTTGGTTTACTCATGTAGTACGCTTGCTCTTTAATTCCAGGTTTTAACAGAAGCAGTTCGTGTATCACAGCAGGTATCTGCTCATTTTATCTGCTGTTCTCTCTGTTAACTCTATTTTGAAGAGAATGATGTATTTGGTGAAATTTCTGCTAGGACTGTGTATTTTGATTTATGTGTCACTAAGTTAAAATACCTACATTTTTTCAGTGCAAATGTCACAAGTCTAGGGATCTTGAACAGGCATAAAATTCATTGCATTCGGACTACACTAGAAGAATCTCATTTCTGCCATTTGGTTTTGACATGCAATCACATGAGCCTAACGTAGTGGCTCGCATTATATCAATGACTAGAATATTGCTTCCTTTCATGGTACTTAAAAGTTTCTTTGTGCTGCAGCTAAGTAATGATACATGTCTAGCATACACACTAGCAACTATGAGCAACTTGCTATCAGAGGCTGGTGTTGCAAGCACTTTTGGTGCTCTTGGATCATCGTACTCACCTGTCAGTAGCTCTGGTTCTTCACTATCAATACAACAACAGCTTTACATTTTTCTGAAAGATTCTTTGAAGAGAGCTGAAAGTCTAAAGTTAAAACGTTTGGTGGCCTCCAATCATCTTGCAATGGCTAAATTTGAGTTGATGGTAAGATCTAAACTTGACTGTCAATGATCATGTTTCTTATTTTGTGTTCATTTTATATTCTTAAAAGCTGTGGGAAACTTTAATTTTCCATTCATAACAATATCTCACTCGCATTCGTTTTGGTGTATGAAAAACAAGTAAACTTAAATGCTAGGAAGGGTAAATGCAGGCATATCATTGGCCCATTATCATCTATCTACATTTGATTCCTTTTATCATTGTTGTATATTAGGCGTTTAACGCTTGATGTACGAGTTTTGCCATTAAAATTCTCGATGTTGTTTATATTGATGATTATTATCGAGTTGTCAAGAATTAAACAGGACCATATATAACCAGGCATTGCTTCTAGTCTGTTGCCAGAAGATTGAATTAGCATGTTTACCTTTTTATTTGTGCAGCATGTGCAAAGGCCTCTCCTAGTTTTTGGTCCTAAAGCTTCTATGCGACACAAAACTTGTCCAGTTAGTGTCTGCAAGGTACTGTGTATCCCAAATAATCATTTTGCGTGTAATATTCACCTCTCGATTTTAGGGCTTTTCTGTATCTTGATGTATTGGATTATGGCAGGAGCTACGACTAGGTGCACACCTAATCAGCGAGTTTTCTTCTGAAAGCTCTACAATGGCAGTTGATGGTTCTCTGAGCTCAGTTTGGCTTAAGGATCTGCAAAAATCACGGGTTTCACCTGTGTTTTCTCAAGGCTGTGAATCGGGAACGAGTTCGAGTTTTTTCCAGTACTGTGGTCATTTGGTTTCAATACCTGGATCTGTATCACAATTGATAGGTTCTTCATATTTACTCCGGGCTACTACATGGGAAATATATGGCAGGTAAGACTAATATTAATTTCCTGTTTGAAGATGATTTTTACCTTCTTAGAAAAGGCTTGTGATCAGATATTATTTTCTGAATGATAAAATAATTATGCTGTTAACCTACTTTGGTGCGCACAAAAATCTCCTTGCAAGTTCTGTTTAGAAATTTATTTCCTCTTGATGTCCATGAATGTATTGATCAACTGACTATATAGAAAAGTTCTGCCTATTTATATTTCTTTTGTATCTTAGAAGAAAAACACGGTGAGCTGGTGGCATATTAGTCTTAACTGACTCATCTCTTGGAATATTCATTGTGAGTGTCTACATGAGAATGAAAACGTTTTTCTTTTCCTTAATGGAAGAATTAAACATCATGCACTGAAATTTGTATATTTATAGGCTAATCCTCCCTCAATGTTTGCGTGTATCGTGCTCTTTACCATTAAAATATCCACCTGGTGGCTAAAAATCATTATCATATAACATATCTGCATGTTTCTTGTTAATTTCTATTCATACTGTGTCTTTGATTCTGTTTCTTAATCCTGGGCAATTTGTTTTCTACTCGTCTTATGCCTTTTTTTTTATATCCTTATAAAAGTGATGCACTTCGCTCTAAACAAATTGAAAGGCCATGATCTAGTTTGCCCTTTCCCTGTTTTCTCCTGGAGACATATCATTAGGCATCACCTTTCCTTCTGATGATGAACTCGCTCACTAAGGAAACTTTGTTTTGAAATGAGAGAGAACGGAATTCTTATTTATTTTATTTCCTCTTTTCCTAATTTATTTACTTTCTAACTAGTGCTCCAATGGCTCGGATGAATACCCTGGTGTATGCAACCTTATTTGGTGATTCCTCAAGGTAATCCACTTAGAGAGCCCAGTTTCTTGTTTAACCTCTCTCGCTCCCTTTTCTTTTCAATTCTCATTTTTACAATGGCTTTCCAGTGCAATTTATATATGATTAGCATGATTTGATCTGTTTCTTCTATTTCATAGTTCTTCAGATGCGGAGTTAGCGTGCTTGAAGCTTATCCAGCATTTGGCACTTTATAAAGGATATAAAGGTTAGAGATCTGTGCATGAACCCGTTCTCTTCAGGCTTTACACTTAAAATTTTCTGAATTAACCAAAACATTACCAGAATAGTCCTTTAAATTCCAAAAGGGTTTGGTCAAGATATGCTGTTTCTGTACAATGATTAAGAAGACTGTCAGTTTTCTATAGCAGGAATTGCTAGCTTTTTGTGAATTATCCTGCTAGATTATATATGTTATTGCTTCTTTATTACATAGAGGAACATTTTATAGCTTTCTCACAGCCTATTTCATATTTTGATTTTTTTTTTCTAATGCTAATGTAATTATAGAAGCCTTTGCTGCTCTTAAGATTGCGGAGGAGAAGTTTTTAACTGTTTCAAAATCAAGAATGTTGTCGCTCAAGTTGCAGCTGCTACATGAACATGCGTTGCATCAGTAAGGCTTCAAATTGATATATAGTGCTCCTGCCTTTAGACACTCTCTCTGTTTGGATTTGCTTTAGTCTTGTCTGTACTAGTTCTAATGAATTTTATGAACCTGCATTAGTGGGAATGTAAAGCTAGCTCAACGCATGTGCGATGAGCTAGGTGGCTTGGCATCAACCGTCACAGGGGTAGATATGGAGCTGAAGGTGGAAGCAAGAGTTCGCAAAGCTCGGACATTGCTTGCGGCAAACCAGTACAGCCAGGTTTGGCAGCAAAAATCATTGTTGACATGATAATGTTTAGTGGTCAAAATAAAGTTCTTTTGCTCTATAGTTCAAAAATACAACTCCACTCTTCTAACAGCAATATTTATTGTGGCACATCGGAGTAACTCACTCTGGGTGGCCCTCTCTGCCTATCCAAATAACCCCTTTGAAGGTAGCTCCTTTTTGGGGTTGACCCTTCCATGATGTAGGCCTTTTAAAATTCATGTCGACTTTGATAACAAATGATATAGACCCTGGCACCCTGCCTTTACTAGGGCAAAACAATCCTCATAAGTTCAAGGGTGGAACTCGATCTAAAAGCTAGCTTGTATTGTAGGCAGGGTACCCCATCAACAAAAACCATACTTGATGTGAGATTATAATTGATTCTGTCCAGAATGCTAGCTTTTAAAAATATGCTGCTTTTTTCCTGGAATCCTTGAAACTTAAGCTTTGTTACCACCACTTCTATTCAGTAAAATGTCTTTGTTGCCTTCTTTTGATATCTGCTTTGGGTTTTTTTTCTCTACAGGCAGCAAGTGTGGCACACTCTCTCTTTTGCATGTGTTATAAATTTAATTTGCAAATTGAGAAGGCTTCTGTTCTTCTTCTGCTTGCTGAGATTCACAAGGTATTCACCCATAAAGGAACTTAGGGTGTTTTGAAGATTTTCTTCATTTTTGTCAGAAAGCACTACAAAGACAAGAAATTACAAAATAACTGCATATTAGATGGCTAATTATTTTAAGAAATGAATTGAGGTACTATGAATGGAATCTGATATTTCCTTGCATGACTTAGTATGCATGTATTTCCTACAAATGTGCCTTGTTTCTACTGGTTAGTCCTAGACCACATATCCTAGTCTCGTTCTATAGTGGTTTTAAAATACCGTTTTTCTAATTTCTGTCTGGTCTTCTCTTTTTTGGGTCATCAGAAGTCAGGAAATGCTGTTCTGGGTCTTCAATATGTGCTGGCAAGCATCTCATTTTGCCAGTCATTCAATCTGGACCTTCTCAAAGCATCAGCTACTCTAACGCTGGCTGAGCTGTGGCTTGGTCTTGGACAGAGCCATGCAAAACGGGCTTTAGACCTTTTGCATGGGGCCTTCCCTATGATTCTTGGACATGGAGGCCTGGAACTGCGTGCTCGGGCATATATATTTGAAGCAAAGTGCTATCTGTCTGATCCAAGCTTTTCAGGTAGCTTTTGTTGTTTAATACTTCATTTAATGCCCGAGCACACAATCATATGATTATCATTATAAATATTCTGTCCATCATCACAGTTAGTTAATGTCAATTGATCCCAATTTTTGTTTAGACATTTATGATATCACTAGTTACCCAAAACAGAGATGGGTGGATATCTGGGAAAAGCTGAAAACAACTAATCTTGCATGATCTGGATAGAGAGAGAACTTGAAGGGAGCTAACGTAGATGCTGTAATTAAGAGGCAACCTTATTCCTTTCTCTAGTTACAGTATGAACTGGACCATGCACCTACATGTTGACCAGAGTTTCGGTTACTTGCACGGGGAAACTCCTGTGTTGCAACCAAGTCTTTTGGTTGTTTGATGGATTTTGCAATGCTTATTTTTCACTTCTATGTCGAGGTAAAACCATTGTTTACGTGCTTGTCCTGTGCCATTGGTAATGGGCTGTTGTGAATGTTTTTTTCCAGTTCTCAAAGATGCTGAGACTGTTCTGGATTCATTGAGGCAAGCTACAGATGAGCTTCAAGCCCTGGAGGTAAGTTTTTGTAAGATGCCAATGTCCAAACACGATCCATATGGAGTGTACTATTGGTAACTGAACTAAGCTTAAAAACATCAAATCTGCTTAGAAGTAGTCGGTAACAGAACTGTATTACCGAGATTATAAAACTAGACACTGATTTTGCATCATCAAGGAACCTAAAACTTTTTTTTGGTTAGAAAACCATGATGTATATGTGTTCTTATTGGTGCAGTACCATGAACTGGCAGCAGAAGCTTACTATTTGATGGCTATGGTGTACGACCAGTTAGGACAAGCAGGGGATAGAGAAGAAGCCGCCGCTTTGTTCAAGCAACATGTTATGTCGCTGGAGAACCCTCAACCAAAAATTCCCTGAATCTCTCTCTCTCTCTCTCTCTCTCTCTCTCTCTCTCTCTCTGAGCACGGCCATTAATGGTCTTCATCTCTTTTTCTCAGCTGAAACACGCATAGATTTCAAGAAGCTTGGAATTCAGCATTGCAATATAAGGCATGGGGCGACATTCTTGTTGTTACAAGCAGAAGCTAAGGAAGGGCCTCTGGTCTCCCGAAGTCTCTCTCTCTCTCTCTCTCTCTCTCGGATCATACGCTTGATTCTCGTTTTAGGAAAAAGGCTTTTTTGGGCTTCGGCCCAATTATATGTTTATGGGCCACAGCCGATGGTCTTGTGGACTTTGCTTACACAACTCAAGAAGATGGAAATTTTGGTTTTGTACTAGGATTTTTTTTTTTCCGCTGTTTTTTTTTATGTTTATTAGCAAGTATTATTGTTTGTAAATGTTTCCTGTTTCAGAAGCACTTTCCATAAAAAAAGCCGATCAAGTTCCAAGATCCAAGGGTTATCTTTCCCCATCCATATTTCATATTTCACATATGGAGAGAGAGAGACTATACAGACATTAATATCCAACGGGTAAGGAAACTGATAAATGCCAATGACCCTTAATAGAAAACTAAATTCGTATTACTCTGAGTTGACCAAGCATTATTTAGGGGATTGAGCAAAATCGGTTTTAACAAAAAAAATATATATATATCGCATAATAAATGTCCTTATTAATACTCATTATCATATAAACCCTTCCCACCCAAAAAACACACAAAATAAAAACATCATCAATCACACACCTCGTCTTCCTCAACAACCTCTCTATCCATCTTTTTTTTTTTTTTTTTTTTTTGGTGTTTCAAATGATTCGGCATGTTGCTGCCGTTTTTGCCGTTCTAACGTTTGTGAATGTAATGGCGAATGGAGAAAAGGGATGTGATTTGTACAAAGGGGATTGGGTTCTCGATGAATCTTATCCTTTGTACGATTCAGACAGATGCGGCTTCATTGAGAGACAGTTTAATTGCAAGGGCAGTGGTCGACCAGACACAGATTATCTCAGGTATAGATGGCAACCCTCCAATGGCTGTGTCCTTCCAAGGTCAGTTCCTATTTTTTTTCTAATATTTGTTTTCATATGTTCATGAAGATTCATCTTTATTTGGAATTTGCACTGATCTTAACCATTTTCCAATAACAAAAAAAAATGATGTTTTTGGCATATCATGCTTAAAAAAAAAACCAAGTGGGTGATGGATTCGATGTCTATATATATATATATATGTAGAGATCATGTTTGCTATGATACGAATGATGAACCTCACATATTGTTGTTAGATTTTGATCTCCAATGCTCTTTACTTGCGACACAAGCAAGCCACCAATGTTAATGATCTCATACGGATGAAAGCTATATGAGGTTTAGAGCTTTATGCTTGCGATTAGGGTTTTGAGATTTCAGATGTGAGATCAATCCGATTTCATGAACAATATTCTACATGGGCTCTTTCTTTTATTTTCTTTTTTTTTTTACAAAATAAAAAAAAAATTCCTACTTTTGGGGTATATAAAAACATGTCACAATATATATATAGTACCATAAGACATGTTAAAAGCAAATTATTTATGCTAAGTTATCTATTTTTGTGCTTGCGTGTTTTGTCATTAATTAGTCCATTCAGAAACATTTGTAAAGTACTTCTACTAATTTTAATTAACCTTTATATGGTTTAATTTAAATAATTAAAGTATAATCTTAATGACATTGATACTAAAACCGAGATTTACTAACTAGGCTAGATTTAGACAAATTAAGCCATAATAAGCTAGTTATCGTCTATTGAAATATATACTCTCTCAGTTTCAAAATAATTGTTATTTTAACTTATTTCACATTTTTTAAGAAAAGATAAAAAAAAAAAGTCACATATACCCTTATTTAATGATAAAAACAATGTTATCATTAATAATTTATTGGAATTTAATAGGGATAAAATTGGAAACTATTATAAAAAAAATGTCTTGAAAATGTAGAATAACAAATATTTTGAAACATGGAAAATAACCTAAAACTATAAAAAAATTTGAAACGGAGGTAGTATGACTTTTTTGGCTTTGATGTTGATTTTTTTTCCTTTACGATAATTAGCTAATTAATGTAGGAATATGGATACAAATACATAATTTTGTTGGGATGTTGTAATCCTTGGCCTTGTAGTTGGTCACACTGGATTTTCTTAGGTTCTTTATTTATGCTATGAAGGCCACCTTCTGATTATGCAAATTTTTATGTTTCCGTACATTGCACATTTTATATCTGATATATATATATATATGACATCTTTTTATATCCATATACAAACAAACAAGTTCTTGCTTTAGATGCAATATTCCATCATTTACTTAAAAATTAAATCTTTTTGCGGGAAATCCAAAATTATTAGAGGATTGATTTGAAAATCTTGTTGGAATTAATCGTTTCTCTTGATCTTACCACTCAAAAATGTTGATTTAGGGTTCGAACCCTAAAGCGGAGACGTGAACGTAGAGTATGTTGTTTCCATGACAGTTTCCAAGAAGTGATCAGGACATTGGTCATGTCATATAGATCATTACCTTGTCCATGATTACATCATACACACACATATAAAAATATACATATATAATCAAGAAAGAGTAAGATAAAACCGTGTGATGGTGATGATACAGATTCGACGGTCGTGATTTCTTGAGAAGAATGAAAGGGAAGAGCTTGATGTTCGTAGGTGACTCACTGAGCCTAAACCAATGGCAATCCCTCACTTGCATGCTTCATACCTCCGTACCTAACGCCACTTTTACCTCCAAACGCTTCCTCGGTCTCTCCACATTCACCTTTCCCGTACGTGAGTCTGATCATAATCAATTTTCCCCCGGTTATCGTTCCGGTTTAACTGATCATATACCGGCTTTCGGCCCGGTTTTGTGATGGCAGGCCTACAAAGCGAGAGTGAAATTCTCTAGGAACGCATTCTTGGTGGATATAGTGGGTAAGCCGCCGAAGCGAGTGCTGAAACTGGATTCGATCTCGAGTGGGTCGCTGTGGAAAACCGCCGACGTTTTGGTTTTCAACAGCTGGCACTGGTGGCTTCACACCGGAAGAAAACAACCGTAAGTCTCGAGCCAGGATACGTATTTACACGGAATATGCGTTAACTTTGCACCATGAATGGGTTAAGTGTATGGATATTTGTATAATATATGTGTGCATGCATGCAGATGGGATATGATGGAGGAGGGGAACGTAACGGTGACAGACATGGACCGGCTCGTGGCGTATGAGAAAGCGTTGAGGACATGGGCCAAGTGGGTGGACGAGAACGTTGACCCTTCTCGCACTCAAGTCTTCTTCCAAGGTGTTTCCCCTGACCATGCAAAGTGAGTTCCTCCTTCTGATTTCAGATTTCGATTTAGAGGAATTTCCATTGTTTAGTACCGATAGAAGAGAATTCATGATCTGGGTCTTGTCGTAATGTTCATAACGATGCAATATTCAGCTCAAACGACTGGTCGGAACCGGGGTATAAAGGGTGCAGAGGAGAGACGACGCCATTGATGGGGAGCTCGAGCTATCCAGCAGGGTCCCACCCGGCGGAAATGGTGGCGGAGAAAGTGATAGGGGAGATGAAGAATAAGGTGAAGTTGCTCGACGTGACGTTTCTGTCGCAGCTAAGGAAAGATGGTCACCCCTCCGTCTTTGGACTCGGAGGCCACCGAGTTGCAGACTGCAGCCACTGGTGCTTGGCCGGGGTTCCCGACACGTGGAACCAGCTCTTGTACGCCGAGCTGTCCCATTGATTTTGAAAAACTTTTGGGGATGATCGATTGAAAAAAAAAGAATTTGTTTTAGATTTGTAACGAAGAAGAAAAAAAGTTATTTGATTAAAATGTTAAAGAGTATAATGCAAATGGTTATGAACCAGATAACCATATGATAAAACAATATCATATATACGATGAATCATATTATATAACGTAGGGTCTGAGCCAATACCAAGAAATTCAAATATCATTCGAGAATTTCCAAATGCTGAAAACACGAGGAGATTTGGGCTGGAGACTTGAGGCACCAAATCGCTTCGACAAGGAAACTGCAGAACATTAGCTGCAGTTTCAGAACTAGTTGAACGCTCGGTTTCTTGGGTAACAAGTAATATTATCATTTTATTATATGATGGAAAATATTTCTGGGAAACAACGGTTCTGGATTGTATCAAATTTTAACTGTCCGGAAAATGGTTTTCAGGCACAAAAACTGTATCAGAAACTGTATTTATTTCGTGCAACTATATGCATGTGACCCCTGTTTTTTAGAATTTCAACATTAATACATAAATATATATATATATATATAATATATATATATAGTCAAAACCATTTAATTGTCGGGCGTTGACCTGAAAATTTCGTCGGTGATCGGCGAATAGGAATGGTTGAAATTCTTCAACCATTAAATATGCAAATGATTTTGACAAGTCAAATTGTCCCCACACGCTTAGGCTCCTCCAAGCAATCAAACACACCCTTCAAAGCCTTTAATTTCTTTAATCTTTTTTTATTTATTTATAAAGATTTGTATTAATTTCTTTAATCTTTCGACAAGTCTCTTTTTTTTTCAATTGCTTAATTTACTCCCTCTTCTCTCAATACTTGATGTTATATATTATATTTGTTTTTTCACTAATTAGATGTTATTTTAGATTTTTAAATAATTTTGTAAAATAATTCCTAATTTTACTCTTAATTAAATTTAACCAATTCGAATAAGCTCAATAAATATTAACTATATTTCGGCTATTAAATAAATATATTTATAATTTTTTAAAAATTAAAAAAATTAAAACGTCGATTATTAAGGAATAAATTGAATATCTTTTATCCTTAATTAGTCCCACTTTACGGTTTTCTTTTCTTGCAAATTATCTTAACTAATCTCTAATCAAACTCCTTAATCTTGACAACTCGCTCTTTTTCTCTAATTTGTATATCTTTAACCTTTCCATTGAAAATTCTTACACCCATTTATGCAGATTGTAAATATTTACCACATTGGTCAAGAATTTCAATCTAAATATATCATATCATATATAATATAAAATCGATCCCTTGGTAATTCTCACTAGTTATCGGTATATTCTCATTAGAAGTCGAATGTGTTCGTATATATTATGACATGAAAAGTTGCGTGGATTGTTTTGTATGTTGTCGATGGCCTTTAGAGATATCGGTTGGGACAAAATCAAGCTTTCGGGTCCACGAGCGAACAACCCCTATGTATGCCCACTTGTATAAATGACCAAAATTATCTTTTACAATGACGGTTTAGATGAAGATATCCATTGTAATAACATAAATACGGTTCGTATAATTATGTATTTATGGTAGTATATTTATGAACTTAGCATATTGAGTTTTGGTTGTGAAACTAATAAAAACATTTCGACTAATTAGAATGAGAACGCTGAGAAATCGATGAACATAAACAGAATCTTATTTTTGATTAAACTACTTAAATTTTCAAAGAATCTTTCTAATATTGGAAATGTATAGAATATAGTAGGACAGAATCTTCTCTATTTGGATGTGTCTTGAATGTAGTAATTCAATAAGATGATAACAAGTTCTAAGATTTTATATCAACAATAAAAAATGTTTATGTGTATATATATATATATAACCCAGTCTTCTTAAATTAAAATTTTATGTAAATGGTGATTTGGTAAATTTTAAATAATTTATGATACCGCCGACCAATGCTTATAAAATATTCGTCCATATATAATTATTGAAATTGAAGATTACTAACAAAATATAAAAAAAAAAATATATGGTTTTCTTGCCGATGGACAAGGTTCAAACATTTCCATGGCTATAATTAATTATTCAGGAGTAAACAAAAGAATATTAGGTGGATAATGATCCTCTATAATAAATACGTCCATAAATCAAAGCCATGCCGTTGGAGTTTGGATCTGTAGGGGGCGGTTGAATAATAAATCATACCATTACTTGTAACTTTGAATATTCAGTCCACGAGAAAACATATAGTAATATTTAAATATCAAATCTTTTAGAATAAAAATAATAAATATATAATAATTATTAGATAAAATTATATAGTTACAATCCATATTATAAGTACGCTAATAGTTCTTTAAAAAAAAGTTCCAACAATAGATATTGATATTTTTTTGGAAGTAAGTATATTAAAATTGTGGTAAAATGTTAAAATAATAATATTACAATTTTACAACAAGCAAAGTTCGGGTTCATTTAACCCTGAAGTGGTCCGGACACTACTGAGAGCTTCACATCACCACTTTCACTTCCTCTCTCTCTCTCTCTCTCTCTCTCTCTCTCTCTCTCTCTCTCTCTCTCTCTTATCAAGTTATCAGATTCCGGAGATAGGATATTTTCTTATGTAAGAAAGATGCTACCTCTGCATCTCGTGTACTTCATTACCTTGATTTTCCACTCGAGTCTGAGATTTGCAGGCGCCGGTAAACTTCACCAGCAAGAAGGTATTCAACTCATCCATTCCTCAAAGCTTGCGATCTTTCTGACATATCCTTTGATTCAGACACAGAGAAATCAACTCAAAGATGCTTTCTTTCTTTTTTTCCACTGTCTCCTCTATCTGCTAAGAAAATGGTTTCTTTCTATGGCTTCTGAGAAAAATCTGGGCCTGTTCATCTTTTTTGGTCGGGATATTTGCCTTCTGGGTATTTGATTCGAAGTTGAAATCTGCTCAAATCTGAGATCTTTTTCTTAATTGTTTTCTAATCCAGAAATAAGCTAGTAGCCCCAAAGTATAATCGGCACTGAAATAGCAAGTAGGAGACAGAATGAATCGCTAATTTTCTTGATTGCCCAACACTGAAATCACTCTTTGATGGTGATGGTGATGTATGTAAAGTGAGGGCATTGAAGGAGATAGGGGAGAAGCTGGGGAAGAAAGACTGGGACTTTGGGAGAGATCCATGCAGCGGAGCTGGGAACTGGAACGTGTTGGACGATCAGACAAAAGGGTTCGAGAGCAGCGTCACTTGCGACGATGATTGCCCTCTTCATCCCAATTCCTCTTGTCACCTCATCAGAATGTGAGTTCCCTCCCTTCCCTTCACTTTTGTCTTGACCGTACACATGGATTCAGGTAATTGGCACATGCATGTGTGATGCTTTCAAAATTATCATATGGTGATAATGTAACATATTGGACAAGTGGGTAGAGGCTTGGAGGGCATAAAAAAGCCAATAGGGAACTGTGAGGTTCATTTTTCACACATGGGTTTAGCATTTAATTATTGATTAGTGGTCTTATTTATAATGATTAAACGTTGGGTTTCGCGTGGGAACATAGCAAAGTAAAAAAAAAAAGCCTTTTTTTTTAAAATTGCTTCATGTCTCTTTGTGACGACAAGCCTCTTTTGCCAGCTGGACTCCCCCGCAGCTCCTCGTTGACCTGTTGACTTTTGGATTGTATTTGTCTTCTCCTCTGTCAGATCGAAACAACGCGTTTGACTTTATTTCGTAGTTTACCCCCAACTTTAGTCAGCCTTTCCGTTTTCAGCCTCAAACTTTTAAAATCTTCAAGGAGGTCCATTTTTTTTAAGAATCGATCGAATACCAGATGCATGAAGACGAAAAGATACCGACTTTTAGGGTTTCTGATTTGTGAAGAATCTGTAATTGCTTGGGAAAGACAATAGATCACATCAAACATGGAGCATTTTCTTGTATCCAAATGAGCATGCTTGAATCATGTCTCCGTCACCATTTTTTACAGAGCTTTGAAGTCGCAGAACTTGACAGGCATTGTCCCTCCCGAGATCTCCAAGCTCCGTCACCTTAAAGTATTGTAAGTATAAAAAAAAAAGACAAAAGCCATTAAATTTTTTTGGTTTTTGTCCGAATCCTCATGCTATCGAGTGTCATAGTATAATGTTTCTTTGCTGATACACGCAATTTTGTGAAGGGACCTTAGCCGTAACTATCTGAGAGGTTCCATACCAAAGGAATGGGCATCAATGCGTTTGGAAGATATGTAAGAGCTCTTGTTTTTGTTTCTTAAGTTATTGCCTACAAAACTGAGAATCAATCCATCCATTGATTAGTATACATTATATCATTGTTGGTTTGATGTTTATATGCAGCTCCTTCATGGGGAACCGGCTATCGGGTCCATTCCCGAAAGTCCTAACCAGCATTACGACGCTCAGAAACTTGTATGATTTTTTCATTTTTGATCCTGTTTGTGTTCATCATTCGGTCTCGAGATTTGATTTAACTTGACCAAAGATTTGCTGATTCTGCTGGTCGAGCTTGTCCTGCATTTGCTTCATATGCATGTATGGGAAACCATTCTGTCAAAGAACATTGTCTCGGCAGCATGACAGAGTTTTGTTTCTATATGGCATATCCACTTGCTTGGTCTGGATGATGGCTATGTTTGGAATGATGCATTATGATTGTGATGAACTGTGCAGGAGCTTAGAAGGGAATCTATTTTCCGGGTCAATCCCTCCTCAGATTGGAAAGTTGGTTCACTTGGAGAAACTGTAACTTTCTCTTCTTTCATTTTCTTTCTCGATCGTTGTTTCCTTTTGTAATGATTATCTGTAAACTCGGGTAACGGTAATAGACTAAAAACCATGAATGCTAAAACAACTTGCAGAAACAATATCATGAGACATCTTGAACATTTTACCTTCAAATTTATTCTCTTTGATTTCTCAGCCCGAGTTTTTTTCCCCTCTTGCTGCAGTCATCTCGCCTCAAACTCTTTCACTGGAAAATTGCCTGCAGAGCTTGGGAAGCTCAAGAATATGACTGATATGTAAGCTTAACATTCTCTTACATGAATTGATAAGATAAAATACAATGGCAGAATAAGGAAAGAGTTATTTCTAGTTGCTTCAATTCCTTTAATAGATTCTTGTTTCTCATTTGTTCTGTTGGGTAAGGAGGATAAGCGACAACAATTTCACTGGAAGGATACCTGATTTCATCAGTAACTGGACGCAGATTCAGAAACTGTAAGCTCGTGATATCTTCCTCTTTCTTGCCAAGATATTATTAGTGTGTTACTCTGAAACACAGTCAAAATGAAGAAATACCTTGCAGGCAGATGCTAGGTTGCGGCTTGGAGGGACCGATACCTTCAAGTATATCTGCTCTCACTACCTTGACTGATCTGTACGTCACTTCAACAACAGTTCTTTCCAAATTTATTACACGATGGTCAGACAAGCTCATCATCAAACGACTCAAACCTACTTGTTGTGTTGTGTCTGAACGTTAGGAGGATAAGCGACTTAAGAGGCAAAGCATCTTCCTTCCCTCCTCTGAAGAATTTGGAGTCTCTCAAGACAATGTGAGTTAACAAAACTAAACTTCTGCTTAGTAAATGCAGTGGAGGATTCTCCTAGTGAACATAGATCAATTAATTGCAAATGCAGGATACTGAGGAAATGCATGATAAACGGGCGGATTCCGGAATATATTGGGCATATGAAGAAGCTCAAAACACTGTAAGTCTGTCCAGAGGGTCATAATTCAAGAGCTTGTTATTTACTCAAAAGATGGTATACTAAGATGAACTATGCTTTTAAGAAACTGAATTCCGTATACTGATTCTGCATGCTGTGTAGTGACCTGAGTTTTAATCATTTTACTGGTGAAGTTCCTTCATCTTTTGACGGTCTGAAGAAAGCCGATTTCATGTAAGTATCAGTTCACAGCCTTTTATCTTCCCGTGAGAAATTGACAAAAATAAGTTCTAAATCTTCTCTATCAGTTATTTGACAGGAAACAATCTTACAGGGTCTGTTCCGAATTACTTCATCGAAAGAAACAAAAATGTGTACGGATATATTTCTCTGTCAACTTGCCAAGTTACTACTCGCTTAAGGTTTCAGAAATGTGATTATTTCTTGTTTTTCATGTGCAGAGATGTATCTTACAACAACTTCACCATTGACAGTTCAACTCCTATCGGGGATTGTACCCGAGTTAGTGTGTAAGTTCCTTCACAGTGCTCTTACATCCACCGACATCCCTCTGTCATTCCCTTTCAAAACTTCAATGTTTTTGCTTCTTTTTCCAGGAATTTGGCAGAGAGTTATTCCCCTGAAAATAAATCGTAAGAACCCTTCTCTTTTAACTTTGAACGGTTTCTCTTCTTAAACAGTTGTCTGTTCAGATATTGTCCCATGAACTGACTGATGATTGTCTTTGTGATTCTATCTGAATCTGCTGTTTCAGACGCAGACATGGCTCCTGCTATGTTCAGAACTTCCCTTGCACTCTTCCTAAAAGACAGCGTGAGAACAAACCG